TTGATGAACTGGTTCCCCTCAAACTTTTGCGGAAGTCAGTGGGATTTCTTTTTTTCTTACATTGAGGGAGAACAGAGCAGAATCTCTATCCCATAACTCTTCAGCAATATGACTGTGCCTGGTTCACAGCTGGGGAGAGAAGGGATGGACACCACTATTATATAAACTCTTCTTCAATCTAAGGTACTTTAGTGATTGGTGAAGTGCATATGAAAACTTCTGCTGCTTCATTTGGTGCTATCTCTCCCCCATGTCACATATCTTCTCTGACCAAAACATTTAGATGCACATTAGAGCTATGCAACTACTGTGAAAATGGAAAATTAAGCGAGACTGTGTGGCCACAGCAGTGGCAGCTCTGTCAGATACTTTCTTATTAAAGAGCCTTCATAAGTGATATGCTCAGTAATGTCAAGGAGAAAGGGGAAACAACTTGGGTTTCATCTGCCAGACTGGAGTTTAGAAAACACTGATCTGAGATGAAAGTTGAGTAACTGGGATATGGATTTCACAAGCCTCCCCTGACTGCAGAGCAGGCCATGGAGCAGGAGTAAGAGAGGATAAGCCCTGCAACATTCCAGGTATTGAGAAAAGTGCTTTTCTGGCTCTTAATAAATTTTTAATTTCTAATAATAACAACCTTGAGAACAATAAAACTCTCAAGAGTTGACTTGATGAGATCTTAAGCCGTACATGAAGTTTACCAGCAGAATTTCAGTCATACTAATAATGGTTGGTGTTTTCTCTCACTTTCCATAAATGAGTCATTATCACTTCTCGGTACTCCACAGAAAAGGAACATTCCCATGGGCATCTTAACACTGCTGTACTCTTCCTCTCTGTTAAAAAACACTGTGTATGAATGGGAACTGTTCCTTCGGAAGTAGATGCAGAACACTAAATGGCCTGAGTTTGTTATTCTGCAGTTTCAGAAGAAAAGGAGTGGAGGAGGAGTGTCTTCAGGATTCACTGAGTCCCATTGGTCTCCCTCACAAAGAGGAGAGCTCCCCTGTGTTAGGTGCATTTCTAACCAGGGATTTCAAGTCATCTCATGCTGCCTATGTAGTCAGCAAAGAGGCAGCAGGCAGTTCAGGCCACTATGGTGTGAATTCACCTCTGGGAGAGCCTTCCTTCATCATGTGGAAAGTACTGATTGTAATTGTTTTTTCCTTTGATAAGAGCCATGTTTAGAGCAGTGTCACTCAGCCCAGCACTCCATAGGCACCACCCTCAGCCCCTGTGGGCTCACAGCTGTGTGTGACAGGAGCCAAGAGTACCGCAGGTACAGTGAGTGGGATGGATCACGTCTGGTGGCCGAGGGCAGAGCCCAGCCTGCCCCTCTCCAGCAGGGCACCCACACCTTGCCAGCTCTCTGTGCCTTCCTACCCCCAAACTGCAGCAAGCAACTGGTGTGTATTTTGACAAAGGTGTGGCTGTTAAGTATTTGATTCTAGCTGCTGGCTTCTTTTTGTGTAGCACATGGAATGCGTATGTTGGTCGGGAGAGATTTGAGACACGTGTAAAGCTAGGAAGATAACCCACTTTCGTGTCCTGTGGCCATGTAAAATGCCTAAAATGCCATTGTCATTTCATAGATTTTTTTTTCCCCCAAGTTAGATTTCAATCTATCTTCAATAGATTTCAATCAAGTTTTGCTTCTTTTGTTACCTTCCCTACTGCAGTACTTTTCTCTGGTGTCAGTGGAACAAAGAACTACTCCAGGTACTTCAGCATTGATGGTAAAATCTGGCATGCCATGGTAAAGTGCATTCTCATTATTTGCCACTGTCATCAACAGTGTTGGTTTCTCTTCTTAAACCCACACTTAGAAAATAATTGAAGAACATGCATAATAATTCCTACCCACTCCTCCAAGGATGTAATTTTAGTATATGCTTAAATAATCCTCAGATATACATTCTTTTGTGATTTCTCTTAGTTTGTGTGTATACAGCTGACTCCATTAAATTTGAAAAATGGGCCAATTCTGAATCTAAATAAAAATCACTTCAAGTATGAGCAAAGACAATTCCATGTTACCAGCTGCAAACCATTTAGGCCTCCAGTGTGCAGTAGCATTTGCTATCTGGCACATGACATGCTAATAATTGCCTGCCAATCCATGAATCCTTTTGGGTGAATTGTAAGGGATTTCAGTACCTTGTAAATAGGATTGGTCTTCTCCCTTCTGTTTCTGTTTATATTCTGCAGTATGTAGTTGATGAGTAGAGCCTGTATGAATATACTCTTCTGTGGCAGATCAGATGAAACACTTTGTTTATTCAGATTATTTATTCCTTAGTTCTGTGAAAAAGAGAAAGTGGCTTTGCAGCACTGCCATGACCCATCAGCATGACACGTGTCCTGATTGATTGGTGATGGGGGAGGGAAGAACCTCCATTTTCATTTCTTCATGGCTTACTGATTTTTCACACCAAACCAAACTTGTTTCCCACCTTTCCCAGAGCAACATCCACTGTGTTGATATCTGTGGCTGTGTTGGTTGTAATTAGGCCCCAGAATGTACCAATGTAAGGACATTTTGAGGTCCTTTTGTAATGCAGCCACTTTCTTATAACTAGTTTCAGTTTTCAATAGTTTATTGTATTGGCAGGTGGGGTCTGACTGAGCTCCTACTTGTAGTTGGTGGTGGTGGTTGGGTTTGGTCACTGCTCATGCCCACAGTGGTACCAAAAGGGAGGATGCTGCATTTCAGCTTGCTGCAAAATAACTTTGAGAACGTCAGTGATGCATTGACATGCAAAGTCTTTTATCACTTGGGTGTATACACAGTGCTGTGAGCCACCAGGGACATTTTTTATTATACTTTCCATAACCCTTTTCCCAGGTTAATGTCTTCCAACTCTAAGATAGGGCGTCTTTCTAATTCATTGTCCTTTTGATATTTTGTAGTTTGAAATACTTGAGTTGTACTGATAAAAGTTACAGTACATCAGAGCTTAGATCTAGGATTATAGATAGGTAGGTAGATACGTCAATATATCTATATCTATCTATCACAGATAGGTGCTATTTAACTCCTAGACTACAATGCTGTGAACTTCTCACAGAGGTGCAAATCATTTATTCGCTGTCATATGACAGGCATAGTGCCAGAATTTCTTTGTTTCCACGTTTGAGGTGATATCACTTTTCTTATGTCTTTTGTAATGTAGTTAAGTACTTTTAACCTTACAACCTTGCTATTAATCTGTTTCACTATTTCTCAATGATGAATTCCATTTCTTTGGAAAATACTGTATACAGTTGTGTGCTAGTGTCAATAAAATTGACATTTGTGTAACAAGCTGTGGCATTTTCTCAAATTTCACTGAACATTGATTTAGTGTGAAACTGTTGATAAATCCTTTCTTGCTAGCTGTAATAATACAGACCTTTATTTCAGACAAATACTGCTTTGACTTTGATTTTTAATAGGCTACATAACTGTCATGATTACGTAAACTGATAACTGTGCTGTTTTTTCCTTCTCTTTTCAAAGGAATGATTTATAAACATGAACTGTTTTGGAACTGGAAAACATTAATGTTCTAGCAATAAAGCTTGAGTTCTTCCAGAAAATAAATAGGTTTTACTACTGGCCTAATTATATTTATTTTATATTATATTTAATGGAGTATCTCAGCTTTGGTTTTTTAGCAACAGGAACATTCACCTATCATAATTTAGGGAGGACATAATCACATGATAGTGAATTGTATTTGACCCTGATTATATATGGTGATGTACGTGTTTTACATTTCATCTTAGACAGCCTGTTAGCTGTGGTAGTCAAGAGTTTGTCTCATTTTTTTTTTTTTGTTGGATTTTAATGTATGATGCCAAAATGGCACAGACTGTAAATGTTCTTCCACATGACAGATTCTTCTTCTAAAACAGGTTTAGATTGTCAGATATATGGAGGAGGGAATTACTGGGAGAAGACTGGACATTTTTGGCAAACTTTCTTTCTGTGCAGTCATTAATCTGGCTGCCTCCCAGAAGACAAAATGCTAATTTCAGTAATTTAATCTAGTGTATATGAATCCATGGAAGTGTAATTGTCTAATTCTTTAATATTTTTAATCCAAAATGAAATGGGACTTTATATCTGTGAAAATCTGAAATTGTCATGCTTTGTGCATTAAAAGTATTCTTTTCTTATGTAAATGTAATGCTAGCATTTCCATCCCAAACAATCAGAGGAGCATGGAAAGACTTACAAGGTATAATATACATACTCGTGTTGTGTGTAGAAATTGGGGAACTAGTAGTTTTCTCCCTTCATGTTAGATCTGACTGATCTTAGCAGCAACACTTCTGTAGAAAGTCATCCTTTTTCTCTAGACCTCAACTAGATGAATTTGTACTAACTTGTCCTGTAGTTCCCTATGAAGTACTGATTTGAGTGTTTGAAGTTCTACCCTGCTGGAAAGAATGGCACTCCTGGAACTATTGTATTGTTGTATTTATTCTCTTTCTATAGAGTGGATTGCAATGATGAAACGTTTTATACTAAGTCGATGTTTAGAATCATAGAATGGCCTGGGTTGGAAGGGACCTTAAAGATCTCCTAGCTCCAACCCCCTGCCATGGGCAGGAGCACCTTTCACTAGACCAGGTTCTTCAAAGCTCCATCCAGCCTGGCCTTGAGCACTGCCAGGGATGGGACAGCCACAGCTTCCCTGAGCAAGCTGTTCTAGTGCCTCACCCCTCCCACAGTAAAGAACTGCAGCTCAGTCATCTGTGCCTTGATTCCTTCCCTACAGAGATAGTAATTTCAGCCAGTTTTATCAGCCAAAAGACACTTAACCAGTCCCATGGTGAATTCAAGTGGATGCAGTTCCTCTGGCTTCAAGGCCATTTGGGCTAGTTTGAGGACCCTGATGGCTATGTCTTGTAGCATAATTTCACCTGCTGCAATTTAAGATTATAACTCCTTGTGGTACTTCCTTGAGAAAGCTTGTCCTAATTGATTTTTCTTTTATCATTTTTCTTAGCAGGTTCTCTGACTGGCAGCCCTCACCTTTCAGAGCTTTCCATCAATTCCCAAGGAGGACCATCCGTGGCAAATATGACTTTATCTCCAAACTTGAGCCCTGATGCCAAGCAGTCATCTCCCTTGGTCAGCCCTTTGCTGAATGACCCGTCATGCATCAGGGCTGATGATGAGGAAGAGGTCAAAAGAAAGGTAAGGTGAATGAAGTTGGCCTTGTCTGTCTTCTTTCTGGTGTGTTGTGATAAATCTGGGTTGTTCCTGTTGTTCCTGAGGTTCCAAGCAACCTCAGGAGCTTGTTTGGATGGGGTCTCCTATAAATCTTAACTTTGTTTTGGGGAGTGGAGTTTGGTAGTTTGTTGTAACAAAACAGTCAGCTCCATTGTCTTACTGGAGAGAAAACTTCCAGGTGACAGAAAGAAAAGGAACAGTGTTGGGCCTGTTGTGGGAATATCCAACCCAGGCTCTCCAGTCTGTCTCTGCTGGGAGCACCACTGGGAGCATCTGGATGTGGGAGTAGAAAATGCTCTCTTTGAGCCACAGCCTGCAGCGATCAGCTGGGAGTGTTTGGCTCAGACCCATCATTGCAGCAAAACCATAAGGAAGCATCACATCCAAAACTGCTTTCTGAAGATAAAGTGTTTGTCTGAGCCAGGGTGCTCTGGGTGCCTGCTGGCTCATCCCTCCTCTGCTGCTGGCTGAGAGGGGCTTCCTTTCGTCCTTCTGTGCCTGCCTTTTTCTCCTCATCTTGGAGCATCTCAGGAGGGAGAAAGAAGCACTGATGGCTTTGCTGGGAGGTGGGAGTTTGTGTAAGGAAGATGTCTTTTCCCTCCGTGCATACTTAGCAAGATGAATGAAAGAAATTGGAGAAGAGGAAAATCCGAGAGTCAGTTAATAGAGCCAGGACTCTCTGTGCCAGTCCCAAGATGGAGCAGCCAGTGGCTGTGTACACCAGCTGATGGTGGCTCCTGGGGGTGCATTCTGGCTGGGAAATGCCCACACAGACTCCCTTTGCAGGGCATTCACAGTGTTTCCACTGCATCATTTGTCTTCAGGGAGGAAACAAAGGAAAAATATCTATGGAATTTTTTTTTCTTAATTTTTGCTTCCTGAGCAACACAGAGGAAGATCAGCTGGGTTCCTTTGGCTCTTCAGAGTTAAGAAATTTTAAATCTGTAGCCTAATCTAAAATCCTTCCCCTCTCCCACTGTTAGGTTGCTCAGCCAACAAAATCTTACAGGTTGGAATTTTTTTGGAAGTATTTTGCCCATGGATTACCATCCTGATGACGAAACTTGCAATAATCAGACACAAATTTTTGTTGTTTTGTCAAATTTGACACTTGATTTAACTGGTCATTTAGCCTGCAAAGGATTTCTTCATGAACTTCACAACATGTCCTGCTCCAGAAATAAACTGAAAGGAGCATCAGCACCCCAAAGCAGTAGAAATCATCTTGGCAGAAAAAGAAGTCTCTCAAAAACCCATGGAAAGTTCTTGTTCTCCTGTGTTTGCAGGGAAGGGTTGATTTTAGGGCTTCAAGGCTTAGGAACATTCAAGGATGAGTCACAGCATAACCACAAGCAAGGGTCACTGGTTTGTAACTCTCTTTGTGATTTATTATCTACAGTTTTTTTCCTCCGTAAAAGCAGAGGAAAACCTAATGTGCTTGCAATTCACAGAGGTTCCCAACTGAGAAAGCTTACTTCATTGCTAAAGAAGTGGCGACCACGGAGCGAACATACCTGAAGGACCTTGAAGTCATCACATCGGTATGTTTGCTTGAGCCTTACTCACAGAACACGTGAAGCTCTGGGCAGGGGTGGTATTTCATCTGCTCCATTTAACATCCTTGATCTGTGCTGTTTTTATATTCTGCACTGTAGCTACTCTTTGCTGTGCAGGGCAGTTCTCCTCCAGGGAGGAAGTTACACGAGAATCAGAGAGCAGGGGTTTGCTCTGTGGTTAGTAACATGCACTAAGAAACTGTATCAGGTTGAGGAACTTGGGACACACTTCAGTTATGTTTTCTTGCTCTCATGCTTTGTGGTTATAATTACTAAAAATGCCTGTGGGTTTTCAATGACTTCTCTTAAAACTGAAGTAGCTCCTTAGGGGCACATATAAATGTTTTCTGCTGCATTAAACGCCCTCCGTTTAACATGAAATATTGCGGAGTACCTATTTGAATGATTCTGATTTTTCAGAAAGTGAAATTGTGTGTTAAATGAGTCATTCCTCTGTAGCATCTGATCAGAGTGTGTTTGTTAAAATCACCAAGGCAAATAGCTGACATCTTTGCACACACAGTAACAGTCTTGTTTCACTTCTGAGAATAATGTGTGCAAGATCTGGTCTGAAACAACCATTTTTCTGTGAAATGGCACCAGATCCAAACCCCTTCATGGCATTTTGGCCAGCTCCAGACCTCTCAGCTCTTAAATCACCCAGTGAGGTGCATTGCCCACTCCTGTGTTGAGTGCTGTGGTAAGGAGGACATGCTTCAGGGGAGAGTGTTGGGACCAGCTGGGAACCAGGGACACACTTTCTCGTCAGCTTCTTCTCTGTCCCAGGATCCCATGTGACAGATGCAGCTAATCAGACCCCAGCCTAGACAGAGCCAATACAGCATGGTTTTTACAGGCAGCAGGGTAGCTGTGGCCCCACTGCTACTTGCCCTTGCTTTTTGGGAAGCCAGCCTGCTGAGAGAAGAGGCCAGGTTCTCTGGGACAGTTCTGCAGTCATTGCTGTAGTCTCAACAGCAGATATGCTGTTTTCATCTAATATTTCACTCAGTGGCAGCAGAAACAAAAAGTTTTAGCTCTTCAGAGCTAAAGCCCATTTTCCACCCCATCCTCTCATTCTTGTGGTAGGCAAATTTGAATTTGCTGGATCCCCAAGAGGGATGGGCCTGATGATTAGCATACAGTTGTATCAGCTGTGCTCCACAAATGACTGGCCCAGGAGGCCACTGAAAGTGAACAAGCAGCCAACATAGTTGGAAAAGGAACAACTGCTGTGCGTGAATTTTGAGACTTGGTAGATGAGCTTTGACTTTAGTTCTGCTTGGTGCTGAGATAAAGCAGGGGAGAGGGAAGCTTGGGAGGGATCTCTTTTTATCCCAGCTCTGGCTCAGCTCCAGCTGATGCAGTGTCAAGCAAGACTGCTCTAACAGTCTTCTGTGGTCCCTGCAGCCTTCTAGGCACTGCTGGAAGTCAACCACAGATAGCTGGAATCCCTCAGGGCACTAAAGAGTGAGCAGTGTTACCATGTTGAAGGCAATAGGCATTACTACCTTGGCAAGCTGCCTGGTCCTGTGGTTTTGTGTCACCCATAATCTGTTAGGGTGAAATAAAGAGAATATGGAGCAAAACTGAGCAGGAGCCTGTTTCAGTCTTTACAGTGCCTGTCACTGCCACTCCAGTTTTGTGATAGCAGTGTCTGCCACTTGCTCACTTTGCAAAGTGATGTCCTCTGTGTGCACACTGCAGCAGGGGCGTGGGTGCTCACTGAGCCAGCTCCTGCCAAAGGCATTTCAGACTGAACTCGGCAAAAAGAAAATGCAGAGCATATTTTTTTTGCTTTTACTGAATTGTTTACAAGTATTGTAATGCTCTTTCTCTTGCACCTGCAGCATTTGCAAATTCTGTTTGTATTGACTAACCAGTTTGGGTTTGAAAAGAATTTTCAAGATTTGATCAGTGATGGCAAAAGGGAAGGGAGTTCCTTTTTCAGCTGTGCAGGGTCTGATCTCTGATAAGTGCACCAGTTCAGTGCACAGGAATGTCAGGGATAGTCTGGGTTGTATTCCTCGTGCCAGATAAATAAGATCCTTGCTGGTTTAGCTGTTAGGAGTATTTGAGTTAGGTACATAAAGACAGAAAATGATCATACCTTCTGCATTCCCCCCGCTGATAATTTTGCTTCTTTTTTCCTTTGTAGTGGTTTCAGAGTGCAGTGAGTAAAGAGGATTGCATGCCTGAAACACTGAAAAATCTAATTTTCTCCAACTTCGAACCTTTGCACAAATTTCACACTGGTTTTCTCAAGGAAATTGAGCAGAGACTTGCTCTGTGGTAAGACTGTTGATTGTTATTATCTGTATTCTTTCATGCAGTTTAGCATTTTTGCATTCCCTTTTTGCTAACTCCTTGTGATCTACTGTAGGGCTTAATTTGTGAAAGTCACAGATGTTGGTTATTAACAGACAGGGTTTATTGAATTGTGCTTTGTTCATGTTTACTTGACAAACTCCGTTGTTCAGATATCTCAGTTACAGACATATGCAAATGAGATCATAATTCTGGATGAAGCTTTCTCTTGCCAAATGCCAGTGTTTGTACATGGCAGCTCCTTTGAAGAACATGCTGCAAGCAAGGCTTAACAGTAATAAAGAGGGAGAGGCACAGGACCAGGTTCTGTTTCTGTCAAAATAGGTACAGGCTGGGAGGATTTCAAAGAGCAGCTTCTCATTCTGCAGCATCAGAGCCGTGACACTCACAGGGCCTGCAGTGCTTTCTACAAATTGACAGTGTTGGAAGAGGACACTGGGCTTGAAAATCATCTGTTCTTAACATAATACTGACAGTGAAACATGGCATTTTTTACAAAATAGCTATGAAGTGAATAATTCTTCCCTGGCAAGGCACTTAATTCATTTGACCACTGAAATCTTAGCAGAGGCAGCAGCATAAGCAGAAACCTTCTACTTGCTCTGATTAGACCTGTCTGGACTAGATTGTCTTGCTCTGTGTAGGCATTTTTTGTAACTTATCTTTGGTTCTAGGAGCTGAGCTTTTCCTTCTCAGTTAGAAAAGTGACAATGAAAATCACATGAAAGCAGAGCAGGCAGACCTAATGGGTGGTAATCAGTTTAATTAAGACAGGTGCCTCTTTAACTAATGAATTAAAACAAAAGCCAAACACAGTCTCAGAGTGTGTGAGTTTAACTCTTGTGATGTATTGAGATCATTTAATGAGGGCACAACACTTTGCAGACTAGTGCTGTCCAAACCCACCCTGCACAGTTGCAGAATTAGCAGGTGTTTTCTGGGAAGAGGGGAATGTGGTACTGCCTCTTAAAGCTGACAACATCCTCACCCAGGACTTTGGTTAACTCCTAATACAATTATTTATTCTTTTATATATATATATAGTTTGTATATGTATTTATATATATATCTAATATAGTTACTCTTAAGACATGCTCTGCACAGCCACCGTACCTGTGTCACTCTTTTTTTCTTTGAGCTGCTACTGGTGTTCATTGCATTGCCCTAAGCAGCATTTTTTACAGGTACTCCAAGGGGGCTCTTTCAGATGTTATAAAATACTGATTGTTTCTTCAGCCTTGGTGTAAGATTAACAGTAGTTGGAGTTAATCCCCAACTAGCTGGGGTTAACATGTATGGTGAGAGAAGGAAAATTTGTGCAGTTAGTGAGGACTAAGTTCTGCTCTCTATCAGACCAGTCTGATCTTGCTGGGTGCTGACTCCTGGGCAGATGTTGAAGTAGAGATATCCCCTATATCCTTCTGGTGGCATTAGAGGTGGATGCAAACCTCCTGTTCAGGTGTGATGTTTTTCAAAAATTGGATGATGCTGCACTACCAGCCTGCTGTGGAAAGGTGACACTGTAGTAATTGGGGGGAAGGATCAGTTATGTTAAAAGAAAGAAAAAATATTTAGGCTTCTAGACTTTCCTTGATTTTACTTTGTTTCTCCTTTTCAGTTAGCTTCTTTTAGATCTGAGTAAACCTTCTGTTTTTCAGTTTCTCCATAAAGTTTCAAAGGTTGATAAACCTCAATTTAAAGCTTCTAATGTCGTATTTTAACTGCTCTTACCCAGTGATTTAAAGTGCTGATCTGATACAAAGTTACCTTGCAATCCACATTTATTCAGAAATATTCTGCTGAGGTAACTTTGTCCCAGCTGGGCACCTCGTTCTGATTTTGTCAGCTCAGCTATTGCATGTCCTTCCACAGTTAGTGTAAGGCCACTGGGATTTCTCTGTCGGCTGCTCTGAATCACTTGACGGACAAGCAGTGGCGTTCCTGCATTCAGTTTGCAGCCAACAGCCTGGATGCAGCCAGTGTAATACCCCTGCTGTAGGCAGTGATGGCTGGCTGTTAAACTTCTGGGAGATTTGAATACGTGCCTTGGGAAGGGAGGCAGACTTGCTGACAGGTATTATTTTGGAGGTGTTGATGTTTCTATATAATGCCACAGATGCTGAGATAAGCCACAAGCAATAAACTCTGACCTATAGAGATTAGTGTTTAATTAAACAGTGAGTGACAAAATTAAACAGCCCCTCAGCATCTACAAGAAGCTGGTGGCAGTGTGGTAGGGAACTCCTTCAGCAGCATGCTCAAGGTCACTTAGCTCAATGCCAGAATGGTACCTCTCTCTTTGGCCCCAGGTGTTTTTAAGGCCGTAGGCTCTGGCTGTGTTCACCACCTCCCAGCTGCCCAGCAAATCGTGGGCCTGGCTGGGCACAGCTGCAGGAAGGTGTGGGCAGGATTCAAGCCAGCTCATTCAAATCTGACTCTTCCATGTCAGCTCTTAAATTTCCAGGCAGGTGGATAGGGGGAGGAAAGTGGGACACTCGTCCTGAGACATGAGCTTGCTCTGCATTTGTCAGGGAGACATGTCCTACAAAAAAAGGGCCTTTGAATGAAAGGGTTGTGGACTTAATCAAGCTTCTGGAAGCTACCAGCATGTGCTGTGGGACCTTGTGAGAGAGAGAGCCTCCTGCAACCAGTCCTCTTTGTTCCCCTAGTGAGTAGGATGCTGGGTTTTATCAACTTAAAGTGCAATTCAGCCTGCTCACTCTACACAGGCATAAGTGCAGTTCTCTAAGGTTTGTTTCAGACTTCATGCTGCATGTTGGAAGATCTAACAGGAGGTCATTCCCTGCTCTCTTAGGCCTTGCATCATACTGAAGCTGCTGCTGATGCAAAAGAGCTGTGGTGAGAACAAGGCTCAGGGGTATTGCACATAACAATTGTTAGATGTCTCCATGCCTTTAATTTGTTAAAACATCTATAGACTTTTAGTATTTGGCTGGAGGAAGCTCAGGTTGTGTACATTATTAAAAGCATTTCTGGCTTGCTTGAAGGTTTCTGAAGTGTTTGAATCTGCAGTCAGGGGCAGGCTGTTTGCTAGAGAACATCTTAATGGTCAGGGTTCTTTTGACCTGGTTATAGATTCTGGCAGGTCTGATCTGTTTCTTTGCACAGTTCACCCATTTTTCTCTTTAGTGCTGCATTTCCTAAGAGCAGCACGTCTCAGTGTCCAGGGCCTAGTGACAGTTTTTAATATGACAGAGATTGATCCTGACACCAACAGTCAGCTGCAGAATGTGGGCAGTCAGTGCATTTTTCTCAGCCAGAGTTTCTTCCTGGCCATGAAACTGAGAAGATTCCTGGTGGTTTTATTGCACAGCATCCTAAGATGAGTGATAGTGATACCATGCTCTGGGCCATGTTTTCAGTCCTACCTGTGCTGTTTCAGGACCAGTAAAGCAGCCCATGAATCTCCTCAGTTGCCCCAGCTGTGCTGAGCTCTGGAGACTGTCCATGTTCCTGGGAGCAAGGGAAATACCCCACTGGAGGCTCTGTGGCTTGAGGAGAGGAAGACCTTTGCATGCAGGCAGGCATGGTGCTTTGCCCTCTCACACAGGAAGAGGAGAAGAGCGGGAAGCTGCCTCAGGTGGGAGAGGGAGCAGCACATGTCAGGCTGCCCAGGGAGCAAGTGCCAGAAGAGCTGCATCCAGCACTTGGCATCCAGATGTGGGTCCTGGCTGCCAGGACTCCTCAAGCAAGGCTTTGGATGCAAGGCCAGGAGCTCCCAAGCCTTTTTGCTGGGAGAAAATATGGGAGGCGTATGTCAGTGACTTTAGGCTGGCTCCTGTTTCCCAAGAGCAGTGAGATTTTATGGCAAGGAGGAAGAGGTGGGCAGTACAAGCAGAGTGTGACATGCTTCATCGGCTTCTGGGTGGTTGAATCTGAGAAGTCAGCTAGGAGGAGTCAGGTTCTACTCCTTGTTTTACCTCAGCTGTTTAATAAGCTATTCATTTGGGTCACAAGCACCATTTTCCATCCAAAAAAATTGAGTTCATCTTTCCACACCCTGTTAAATGTATTGCAAGTTTCCACACTGATTTCTTTAAATGATGACAGAAAGAGGCAAATAGAGAACCATAAGTATCCCCCTTTTCTGACCACTGAGCAATGACAGCAATGCTGGGGCAAGCCAGGGTAGCTGTTTCTGCCCAAGGAAGCCCTCATCAGGTAGTACAAATCTGTGTTTTGGGCCTTATTGATGTGCTAGGAAAGAATAGTGTTATGTACTTCCCAGAAGTGCAGGCAGACTCCTCTTCTCCAGGGGAAGCTGCTAGTTTGACTTGCAGATCTTTCTGAGGAAAGCTGCTGCTCAGTGTTACCAGATGGGAATGTGTGGCTGGTAATTTGCAAAAAAAAGGGCTCTTAATCTTAGCATATGAAAGGAGAAGGCGCAATCAGGATTTGTGGAAGCAAAATTGAAAACCTCTAATAAGAAAGCACTCAGGGAGGTGTAGGAAGATGAGCCAAATGTTGATTTATTAACATCTTTTGTTTGAGAAGAAATACTTGTGCTCAGGAAGAGCAGCCTGATAGACAGTTTATATAAACAAGGCAGCAGTCCTTATCTGCCTTCTCAAAAGCAGCATGCTGGCTGTTCAGCTGGTTCTGCACGTCTGGTGAGGAGGCACGAGGAGGGCACTTCCAAAAATGTCTTTGTCCAGTGTACAGAAGTGAGGTGTGTGTGGCAGCACAAACCTCTGAGTGATGCACTGCAGATTCCTGAGCCCAAGACATTGAGAGGGGCTTAGTGCCAGCACGCTGGGCTCGATTTTGAGAGGATAGTTTTCATTGCTGAAGTCACTTTTGGGTACCTCTGGGGAATGGAGCTGTGCTACGCCCAAATTAACTGGAAATTGTGGGAGAGAAGTAGCACATCCAGGATCTGTTAGTCAGAGTTAGAGCCATATTGCATCAGTCTCTGTGGCTCTCCCTGCAGGATATGCCCAGGGTCAGCTCTGAGGCTGTTCCACAGCAAGATACGGAATGCTGTTGCATTCACAGCACTTTTTCAGTCAGTCATGTTACTTGCTCAGATCCCTTTCCATTTAAAAGCGTTACTGATGCCTGTTTGCTGTAGGTTGGGTTTCCCCCCAACAGGGGTAGCCATCCCAAAGTCTTGAAATGTATGCACACCCTCTAAAGGTTTGGTGTGACTCTGGGAAGCTCTCATGGCTTCAGCAGTGCATTTCTTAGGCTCTGAGCAGCGTGTCGTGCACCACTCACTGCTGCAGTGCTGGCTGGAATGGGCAGGGCAGTAAGAAGCAGGGTGTGAGCAAGGAAGGGGGTGTTTGCTTTTATGCTTCTCCAATTATAAAACATGTCTCTTATTTAAAAGGCAGTTGTAATGGGGAATGTTTAAGGAATTTTTTAATATTAGAACTTTAGTTAATAATAAAGTCATAAAAAACTTCAAAGTGTCTAGGTGTTCAAAGAACCAGTTATCCTATTCAGGAGGGAGTTCTGAGCATGTAACACAAGGTCACACACTGTAAATATAATTTGTTACAATTGATTTATTATTATTTTGGCTGCAATTCAAGGGCTGCAATCAAAGACTTCTGTGTTTGCCTCAAAAAATCTTTATTGAAATATCTTTCTCTTATTTTTTGCCTTTCCACCATCCCCTTAAATTTCTGTTCCTTCTGATTGAGGGTATGGGCTGACTTGAGATTTCCTTCTTTTATTTTTTCAATTATATACACTAAAAACATCATGTAATTTGAAAATCAGACAGGGCTGCTTGTGTAATCCCTGTAAGTCAAGCTGATGGCTGTTTGGAGTAATATATATAAGGTAGTGTCTGAATTTCTTGCCAGGTGTAAGCCAGTCTTCTCTTTTCTTGCTGTTGTACACTTGCGTTGCTGTAAAAAGGAAGGGACTACTTGGATAAAAATGGGAAATGATCGTATAATGACCAATAATGTCCTCATTTTTTAGCATGATTTTCAGTGGCTTTAGACCTCCCCCACAGTGTCAGTGGGGTAAGGGCACATTATGCATGGGGAAAGCTGCTCCTGCATCTTCAGTGGAGATGGGCATCATAAATCAGCTCCTGATGAAAAGCTGTGAGACCCTAGGCCCCGAGTTTTGTCCCCTGTCACTGGCAGATAGATACCATGTTCAAACAGTGACCCGTGAAAACAAGGAGTGAGAAGAACAATTTATCCATTGATGCACAACAAATGAGCAGCTTCTTCCCTCTCAGCAAGCTGAGTGTTGTTATTCAAAACATACACCACAGGGAGATCTCTCTTTCCTGCTCCTGTGCTTTGGGTTGTTGCAGCAGTAAGACATCATCTGATATGTAGTGTGTTTGGGTTTTATTTTTGTATTCTGTGTATTTGGATGCTCTTTTCTTGGTGTTTCATGTTTTCTTGGGATTTGCACATTAAGGAGCTGGTGAAGATGGCAGTGTAGCTTAGGGTTTGCTCTGGGGTCCCAGCATGGAGCTGGGGTAGAGTGGAGGTTGTGTTTTAGGAGGCAGATGGGAAGCTCTCATGTTCCCTCATGCCCAGTTTCAGCTTTCCTTGCCTCTCTGTCCACAACACAGCCTACATGCCTGTGCACCATCTCCAGTGGGAAAATCATCTCTGTGGCAAGGGAAATTTGTTTCCCTGGAAATAAATAACTAAAGCAAGAAGAGAGACTGGAACAAGGAGCAATATGCAGCCATCACATTTCTGTATTTTCTCCTAAGAAAACCCTGGGTTTATTTCTTCCAGCAGGATGCACCTGTGTGCAGCACAGGTCATCTCTGTCAGCCTGGGCTGGGGGCTCTGATACCATTCAGCACTTCACTGGTCAGCCAACAGCTGGAGTGAGGCTGTTGCTTCTGGAGACCCCCTTCTCTCTGTCTCTGTCACTCTGCCAAGGTGCAGAGTAAGTTTTGAAAACCCTAAAGGTCTGTGGCTGATGCCGATGAAGGGGGACTATTCCTGATGTGTGTGACTGATGTGGTGAGATGCTGTGCAAGCAGTCAGTGCTGGTGATGCTGAAGAGGGTCCAGTGGGTCAGCTTTTGGGAAATAAGGACCTGACTGTTCCGTGAACAGCCCCATTAATTATTAGCTGGTGGAAGCACTCACTGTGACTTTGGTACGCTTGGGCTCAGCCTCCAAGTAGCCAGCTAGTAGATCAGACATTTGCACTGTGTATTCTAGCCAATCTGTATTGTAGCCTTCAGATCAGAAAAGCAGTGTCTATTTAGAAAATGCAGTCTGTAATGATGTACTTAATATTTTTCTTGGCAGTAAGTAGATAACTGTATATTTCACGCTCAAAAAGGTACAAAACTGCCAAAGTCCATTAGATTAAATCAAATGTAGACACATGGAAATGGATCCAGGTAGTGCCAGAGAATGAGAGAATAACACATAAAGCAAGAATTCTTGTAGAGATAATTGCTGAATCCCATGCCATTGCTGGCAGCAGCACAATTTCATCTGGCTTTGGCACTTCTGAGCTTGTGTGTAGAGGCTCATCATGAACCATTTGCGGGGGATGCTGCATGCTGGCTTCATGGGTGCAGGGTGGCTTTCCCTTGCTTCCTGCCAGGGTGGGGCTGCTGCCTGGGACTCCCAGTGGTTGTGGTTTCCAGTCAGGGGCACTTGGATATGCACCACTAGGAGCAGAGCTTTAGTGGCTGGAAGGTTTTATTTACAACCTGTCAGAGGAAATCTCAGTGGGGAGAGCTGCTGGATGGGTATGTCATGGGGGAAGGGAGAATTAAGGAACAGCATAGAGTGGAGATGGTTTGACAGACAGAGGCTTCCTGAAGACAGAAATTGTACTTTCAGTTGAGACATTTCTTGGGCATGATTTGTCTATGGCAGTGTTTATATGACATAATGTTTTTGCAAAACAGTGATGGTAATTAAAGTTACCACTGACACAACTCAGCTTCCTACCCCAGTGTAACCTTTGGGTTCAGAACAAAAACGTGAAAAATCTTGTTGAGTACTGGTTTTCCTTACCTAAATATGCATGTGACACACTAAGACAGACAATAGGAAATTATTAAAGACAGCCTATGAAACTGGGTGATGTTCAAAAGAACATGGAGTAATCCCTTGTTTATCAATGGAGTCTCTTTGTTGAAAGATAAAATTGGAAAGGGGAGGGGGACAGTGCTTCTCCCCACACACTCCCAGAGATTTTCTTTTGAAAGCATGGCTTTGTTGGAACAGATCTGTAACAGTTAGGTTCTTATAGTCATAATTTTTCCTCCTGTGTTTTTAAAAACCACATGTTTGGTTTCACTCATATTGTGGTATCCTTGCCTGTCTCACACATGGATTTAGATACAGGAATATCTTGTTTATCAGGAGCAGTGTTGCTCCCAAGTGCTGCACTCACCAAAGTGCAGCTGCCTGGGTGGGAGGCAGCACTTTGCATTTCTAATATACCAAAAGTGAAATACTGAATGGAAATTCCTGCCAGTATGTAACACTTATGAGTCAAAGCCAGATGCTGGATGGATTTTTTTTTTTTTTTGGCCCCACTGTCCCTTGCACAAGCAGAAAACTCTTCAAAGGAAGAACACCCCCCAGGTCCCGTTCTGGGGTTCAGCCATTGTATCTGAACAGAATTAACCTTCTGCTCTAGGGTCACACATTCTCATGAGACTCTGATGCCTTCTTTTCCCCCAAACCATTTCCAGCCTTCTCTGATGTGTTCAAAAACGCTAGCAATTTTCTTTAAAAGTCTCATCCTTCTGCTAAGTGCCTGCCCTCTCTGTTGTTAGGAGTGAAAGGCAGGCTGGGTGAAGGGTGTGCTGTAGCTTGGAATTACATGTCTGTTGGGAAGATTCCTCACAAGCTTCTGAGCGAAGGAGCGTGGGGGTCAGGATTTTAAAAGAAATGAGCTATTGAGTTTCAGTGCTTATAAGTGATTATGCAGTTTTATTGCATGACTGAAGTGTGTGGCATTTCTGTTGCTGACAGGGAAGGCCGCTCTAATGCTCACATTAAAGGAGATTACCAAAGAATTGGAGATGTTATGCTGAAGAACATTCAGAGTATGAAGGTAGGAATGATCCTATAACTACTAAGCTTTGACACAGATTAACTTCAGCATGCTTTTCATTTTCATATGATGTTGCCTCTTGTGCTGGTTTTTGCCAATTTTAATCAAGGCTTATGATATGAAAGTTTCCTTTGATGACGTAGCAAGCATTTGGTGGATTTCCCTGGGATTTCAGAATTGTAAGCTGATTTTAAATTGTCCAGCCACTTTCCTCCACTCTCCTAAGAACAGAAGCAGCCAACACAAAAGTTTAGGAATATTTCATTTCCAGTTCTTTTTTCCTTCAAATAAGAAGGCAAAGCATTGGAATTTGTGTGGCTGAAGAGACTGTTCAAATGTTGAGTGTGCCTATTTTTTAATGCAAATATTCATGTTAAGATATTTTGGGTTTAGTGACCATAAGCTGGATATTGATTTGACTTGGAAAAGTTATATTTGTGCACTACAGTGCCAAGTTGGGTGAAAGGTTTTTGAATCATGAGAATAATTGCCTCTGATGCCTTTAAAAGTAGAAGTAAAAAATACACGTATGAACCGTAAATCTAGGTGTAATGTTCGGCAGACTGCAAGTGCCCTTAGTCTGGCCAGAGCAGTATTCTCAGTGCTCTGTGTCACTGACAAAATAGCGTGGAATGCAGGCACAGGAGCCTGTGAAAACCCTACAGATTTGTACAGTGTGGATGTAAGCTCACCTTACTGTAATGTATCTGCACATCCAGGTCGGTGTGGGGCAGAACATGGCATTTCGCCTTCAGCACGCGGCTCTCCGAGTGATGTTGAAACTCTCCGATAAATCTTTCCTTGGGGATGGCCACTTGGGCATTCTGCAGTTAGTAAATGGAGCAGCCTTGAGTCCTTGGCTGGAGGAAAGGGCAGTTTAATCATTACAGCTCTCCCGAGATGTTGGCTAGCACTCGCTTTGTCTTTCAAGAGGACAGAGAGAGACGCGGGGAAGCGAAGTGACGCGCGAGCGATTATACGGCAGATCAGAGAAAGGGAACACAGAAAGCTCCATTTCCCATCCCTTATAGAGCCAGCCTTACAACCACATAACTTATAACTTATAAGGCAGCCTTGCTCTCTCTGCAGTGTACTTAGCAAGGAACTGCTTTCTCCCCTCAAGATGTAATTCACATGCATTAGAAGAAACGTAGAGGGGACTTTTCTACCTCCATCTCTGCTCTCAAGAAGGATGCAACTCTTCACAAACAATTTTTAGAGTACCAGAGAGCTTTGGACAGACTTTGTCTGTGCTCTTGGTGTCTTGCAGTATTAAACTGCGTGTCCTTTGCTGTGTGCAGGTCCTTCTGGGTCGCTAGTCTAAAGGCAGTGTACAGTCCTCACGGTAACTTAGACCTGGCAGCGTGCTTTCACCTTTCCCATTTTCCCTTTCCCATTAAAGGATTTTACTTCATTTGCTTTGAGATTCACCACCACTGATCAACTGATCTGTGGAATAAAGAGACAAAAGCTAGTTTAACTTAAAAGAACTGCACAAGAAACAGAAATAAAGTTATTAAAAACTGTCCTTATCATGAGACCTGTTAAAACATCTGCAAACTGACACTATGTGTTTAATTAACATAGGAAAGAAGTTAAGAAAAGTAATTAATGGGCAGCCTGTGTAGCAGCCCAGAGGGTCTGCTGTGTCTCTTCCTGAGTTACAGACTTGTAAAATGAATATGCAGTGTGTGGAGGAAGCAGCTTGGCTCTAGGGAAGGTATGTTTCTGGTAAACATGTCACAAATCACAGGAGAGGGAGAGTTGACTGGAAATGTGTCAGAAAGCACAAACTTCAGATTAAGACAGAATTTCTTCTCAAGTCCATTCAATTTATGCATTCAGTTTCTTTTTGCTGCTGCTTAATATTCTACCCGTTACTGGAAAACTTTAGTTGGCTGCTCAGAGAAGCTCTGTACATCCTGAAGAGCCATTTTACCTTTTTCAAAACACAATTAATTCCCTGTGTAAATTGTTTAAAAAAATACTGCTGAATGGTTTTAAGGGGGAGTTGTGAATACCTGTGATAGTGAGACCTAAGTGAAGTTACATATTTAATGCAAACCTCATTCATTGCTGGTGTGCAGCTCCCCTGCTGCCAGTGGGATTATTTAGAGACTGCACTAAGGAGAAGAGGGTGTAGTCTAAGGATGAAGAGCTTGTAACATACCCATTTCTGTCAGGCACTGCCTCTGGTTTTGTGTTTGTTGAGTTTCCCAAGAGATGCAACTTCTCATTAATAAGAGAAGAGCAGAAGCCAGAAGTCCATTTGCCTGCATCTCTGTTCCCCAAAACCACCTAAGGGAAACTGAGGCATCTAAATCCCTTCATCCTTTTAGAAAATCCCATTCACATTTTTTGGCTGTCTCCATTGCACCTACTTGCATGATCTGTGTTCCTGTCATCTCCTTGCCTTTGGATTTCTCACTGATGAGAGAGTTGGTGTTGTTGAATTATGTACTTTGGTTTTCCCGGGAATGCAGAGGCGGTGGAGGTGTCTACTTCAAATGAGTAATGCCTTTTCTCCTTGGCAAGTGAATATCAGAACCATTGTGTTGTACAGTGATTTTGTTTGCAAAATCCCCACTGCTGTGCTAGTTGGATGTGTTATTGGATTAGGCATGGGCTGAGTCATGTCTCTCAGTGATTGTTAAGAGCCTCCTCTTTCCTTTCATGCATAAAAGCAACTGACAATTCACCTGCGAAAGCACAATGAGATTTTAATGGAGCTGGAGAATGGGATCAAGAACTCCCGCAAGCTGGAGACCTTCTGCAGAGATTTTGAACTCCAGAAAGTCTGCTACTTGCCTCTCAATACCTTCCTCCTCAGACCTTTACACAGGCTTATGCACTACAAGCAGATCATGGAGAGGCTTTGCAAGCACTACCCTCCAAGCCACATGGACTTCAGGGATTCGAGAGGTGAGTAAGAGAAAAGACGTCAGTTCCTGGAGCTGGGGAATGACATCTAAATCCGTTAGAGGTGTATGGCTGGAGGAAAGAAAAATCTCTTTTTTTTTTTAAGCCTACATAAAAAGAGGACTGAGTTGCAAAATCCACCACTCAGAACACCATAAACAGTAGGATTAAGCTTGTACCTCTATACACATTGTGCCACAGTCTGGGCAGGTACTTGGAATAGAATTCTGCTGGGGGTTATTAAACACACAGAAATGACAGCAGGTTCAGGAAGTCTCTCGAACTGAAAACAGTTGGAAGGTTGGAGAGAGCGCAGGGAACATACCATATGTGCTTGTGTTGTTCCTAGCTTTCCCTAGAGATCCTCTAATAACACAAAATACTAGCCCAGGTGAACCCTTGGTCTGATGGAGTAGGGATGCTGTTATTATGTCTTTCAGTGTTGCTTGTCTTCCCTTTCAAGGATACAGTTTGCTCTGTTATCATTTCCATTATTCGTTTCAGGAGCTCAAAGCAGCCAGTATGGGTTGGTTTTGGATTTGGGGTTGTTTTGGTTTTTCTCGAACATGAAGAAATTGCCCTCTTGTAGCCTGAACTCGCTGCCTACCATTTATTTCTGATGGTTTGTTCTCGTCCCTCCTGTCCCCCACACGTGTTGTAAGCTGTGTGTGTTGAAGGATAACTCCGTTATCATTGGTGCAGATCCATGGAAGAACTTGGGCAGGGGCCAAGCACAACTGCTCCCAGGTATAACATGTGGGCTGAGCTCCCTCAGATGCCGTGGGATGAGACCCACAGCAGGCAGTGCACGGAATGCAGAGCTAACCTGACCTGTGGCAGTAAGAAATGCCAGAGACCTGTGACACTGGGGGGCTGTGTGACACGGGTGCTGGCCCAAATGTCGCTGCTCCCTGGGTGATCTCAAGGAAGGCACTGAGTAGTGCCTGCACCACTTGCAGCCAAGGCTAGGCATGAGGATGATGTGTCCATTCTCCTCTCCCCGGAGAGTGTAGCAGGCTGATTCCTGCTTCACTTTTGAAATGGATATGAACATAGGTTTCACAGGTGAAAATAAGGGTTTCACTGTCCACTCACACGAGGACAGTGTGACTTAGAGACCCCATCACTCTGGGATCAGTTTCTTACTAAGGTGTTTGCAGATTCTTTTTAAAGGTCAGAGTCTAAAGGAAGCAAAAAAAAAATTAATTTAATCCCAGAAGAGAGCATCAGTGTCCCAGTGGCAGGTGGGCGAACTGTGTACTGAGCAATGATGTAAGAAGGAAGATGGAACCAGTGTTACTGTTCATGGGATGGTGATTTTTTTAACGCAAATGGCTGTAGCTGCTCTTCTGGCACTGTCAGCCAGTGTCTTTGGCCCATTCAGAGACTGCCCACCCAGCCAGGTGTGTCAAGGTTGGTGCTGCCACACCTGATGGCACAGGGAGCTGGTGGTGTCTCTGCAGAGAATGAAGTAGAGCCATGATGTGACTCAGTGATGTGCAGCCCTTTGGCTGTTATCATTGATGGGACTGAGAACAAACCCCAAGGTGTTTGCCATCTGAAATGATACAATAAGTCACACTGCCATTTCCTGCTCTTTTCAAATATGGACCTGACCCAGTGTGCTGCAAGCAGGGGGGAAAAATGTATTTTTCTGAAGCATAAAGAACATCCCTGGATTGATCAGAGTTGTAGAAATTTAAGTCCTTTATGAGAATCCATTTCTTGGTGATCTGGATTGACCATACCCTTCTTATAAAGTTACTGTGGCTAAAACAGGGCAAATGTTTTGGAAATACACTGTCTCTTCATCACAACACTCCACCCCATCCACTGCATAAGATGATGTCCAGAGTTTGTGCGGTTTTTAGTCTGTCTGAGTAGCTTTATGCTGTAGAGGAGAAGAGTAGCACAAGAGGGTTCATGAGCCGGGTACTGCTGAAAAAAGCCATATTTCTTTTTGAATGTTCTTGTAAATTTTTAATAAGCACTTTATGGATTTGTCCATCTAGCTGCTTTGGCTGAGATTTCTGAAATGGTGGCTCAGCTCCATGGCAATATGATAAAGATGGAGAACTTCCAGAAGCTGCATGAGCTGAAGAAAGACTTGATAGGCATGGACAATCTGGTGATCCCCGGAAGGGTAAGTAACAGAGTTGTGATTAAGATTTGATACAATTTCAGATCATTAGGTATGTTTTCAAAACCTGTTTTTAGGGGCATGTGTGAAATTACCTTTCCTCATCTGAACCTTCTTCTGTCAGCAGAAACTCTCAGATGTAAACACAATAATGCCAAATGTCATTATTTAACCCCAGCCAGCAGCCAAGACCCACACAGCTGCTTGCTCACTGCCCCAAGAGCAGGACCAGGTAGAGAACTGGAAGGGTAAAAGCAATCAAGAGAACTCGTGGGTTCAGATAAAGACAGTTTAACAGGGAAAGCAGAAACTGTGCACAAGCAAAGCAAAACAAGGAATTAATTGACTGCTCCCCTTGGGCAGGCAGGTGCTCAGCCATCCCAGGAGAGCAGGGCCCCATCACGTGTAATGGGGACTTGAGAAGACAAACACCATCACCTCAAATGTTCCCCCTTCCTTCTTCTTCCCCCCACTTTATGAACTGAGCATGATGTCACATGGTCTGGAATATTCCTTTGGTCAGTTTGAGTCACCTGTCCTGGCTGTGACTCCTCCCAAGTTCACATGCACCTCCAACTCCCTCACCAGTGTTGGCAGTAGGAGAAGCAGAAAAGGCTTTGGCTGTGTGTGTGCCCTGCTCAGCAATAACAAAAACATCTCTTTATTATCAACCATGCGTTCATCTACTTGTGACCAGCACAAATCCAAGATAGAGCGCCATACCAGCCATGGTGAATAAATTAATTCTACCCCAGCCAAAATCAGCACACCATAGAAAACAGCACCTTTAAAGCAGGAAAAGGCAATCCTCTTTGTTACTTTTTATTGACTTTTAAAGTTCTGTCTTTTGTATAGATTTGGACTGTTTTAGACACTTCCAAACACCTTTTACAACAGAGGTAGTAAAAATGTAGCATTTATCACAGAATTCAGAGCTTGAGCAGTTGCACATTCCAGAACATTTCTTCATGCTGCCCTTATTTTCTTTTCCCAGCCCTTGATGCTAGAGCTTGACAGATTAAAGGCAAGTAAGGCATTTGTGCTGGAAGAACTTCAGCCCTTTCACCATGCCTTGCTTTGAAACTCATGGCCCCGGGGAGGAGCAGTCTCTTCAGTCTACATGTATCACTGGGCAATCATTTTTGAGACAGTGTTGCCTTAAGTAAACACTTTTAGTTGTGACATAAGAATACAACATCTCTTTCCTACTTATCATGCCTTTTTAAAATCAAAGGCTCATTTCAGAATAAATGAGCCACATTGTAATATTTGTAGCCTTTTTTATTTTCTTAGGCACATGTATCTGTGTGTGCAAACTTGAGTTGTCTCTTGCTGAAGTAGTTTCCTCCCCTCTCCCTTGACTTTTTTGTGTAATACACAAAACCAGAACTTGCAGCCAAGTTTGAAGTTGATGTGCCATTGGGAAGGCAGTGCTGAGCCACAGGTATTTCTGCATTTGTGGCTGTTCCCCACTCCCTCCCGTTACCTGTTGCCTGTCTCCAAGCAGCTGCCACAGCTCATGTTTCTTTCTAGTGATCCACAGACTGTTCACATCCTTGGCAAGTCCCTCAGGACATTTCACAGCCTCTGCATCTCTCTATCACATGAAATTAAATGCTGTCATCGGGTGTTTCTGCTACCCTAGTCTATTTAAGTCTGAGCAGTCTTCCTGTCCTAGGAAGTTCAAGGAAAATGCAGATGGGGGCAGAAGTTGTTTCCCTGCCAAGACAAGAAGCATTGGCCACCACGCTCTGGCACATGCCCAGGCTGTTGCTGCTTCCAGCCCATGGCTGTTTTTCTGGCTCTGACTCAAAACCCTGCCCTGGTGCAGGCGGGGCTGGGAGGCAAATGCCACTGTAACCTCTTCAGGTTGTCCAGAGCAGGCTGTCTGCTGCTGCTGAGCTGGTTCCTGCACTGGGTATGAAACCCCCCCGTGGCTGGCTGTCCTTGCAGGCGGCAGTGACCTGCAGCTCTGGATCCATGTGGCCGTGCTGGTGCTGAGCCTGCCAGGGACTATTGGGTGGTACCACATGGTCCTAACTACGATTAATGCTCCTTGCTGGCCAGCAACAGCTTCCAGTGGCCTCTCTGGTGCCATGAGCCTACTGCGGCATAGGGATAAGCACCTCTAGCCACTTTTCCACCCTTCAGCCCCTAGGCAGTGCAGGTGGGGGGACTGGACACACCAAAGCAAGCCTAAGGCGTTCGCGTTGTTTCTCTGATCAGGTTGATCTGAGCTAATTTATTCCTAGGATGCAGGTGGTTAAGTGCTTTATATAGGTTTTTACATCCACAATTATGAGTAGAATGACCTTAGAAAGGTTGTAATAAATAAATATAAACCTCTTACCTGAAGTTGGAGGAAGTGACTGAAAAATTATATTTTCGTGGATTTCAGGGAAATATAAGGGTGAGTTCAGCTTACTGTGAACTGCACAGTTCACAGTAAGCCTAGGAAATCCAGCATTTTGAAAGTTTCAGATGTGCTACTTTTCCTCTGTTTCCATCCCTAAACATTCTTAAACACTATGGTCTGAATTAATGTGCTTTATTATGTTACATGGATGATGCTGGGATAGCTCACCCTGCCAGACAAATGTCTTTCTTTGTCTGCTGCTAATGGTGATGTTCAGTCGTGTAGCTGGTTTTACACTGCAGTGAATGAGAGTAGTGTATGCCACATGCACCACAGAAGATTACCAGTGGCTAACCAAGAACACATATATCATTATTTTTGTGTCATTTGTGCTGTGAAAAATACTCATTAAAAACTGGTGAAAGAGGGAGCTGTCTGAAGGAGTTACTGTCAGGTAAAAACAATTTTGCTTAGCTGAATTTTCTTAATATGAATGAAAGGAGTTTAACCTAAAGACAGTTACAAACAGGAATTATCCTATAAATTAGATTTCTAACATATTTAATAAAATTACAAGTCTTGGTAACTGACAGTCAAGTCATTTGTATGACCAAATAGTCATATTTCTGTTTACGTACTAAAAAAATATGTAATTTCTGCAGGAGATAAATTTTTATTTTGTATTTATTTCCCACAGGAGTTTATTAGGCTGGGCAGTCTTAGTAAGTTGTCTGGAAAAGGTTTACAGCAACGGATGTTTTTTCTGGTAAGCAAGAAGACAGTTTTTCTTTGTACAATGAAATGTAACGCTAGGCATCTACTAGACATAACTGTTAGTCTTGAATTTTGAATTACAGTAAGTATTTTTAAACAGCCTTATTTAAATTAGCATAGTACATCACCTGTGCAGCTGGCTGTTAAGCACCTACATTTCTGTTCAAATCCAATATTGTCTTCATAACTGCTTCTTACAAAGAGAAAACTGTTTTTCATATGACAGTGTGAATATAATGATAAAATAATACCTCCTTGTACCTTGTCTTAAATAAAAGCAGCATCATTACAAAATGAAAAGTGGCACCAGGGATCATATTCAGAAAAGAAGACAAAGAGTGACTCCTGGTGATATGAACAATAATTCACATAATGCAGTCAGAACACATTACAGAACCAAATTTTTCCATAAATCATCCAGTTCCAACACGAGTGCCCAGCATGTTGATGGACCTGCCTGTACTTGGAGATGTGTTTTTCAAGTTTTGCACTAGGGAAGTTTGTCTCCTCCCACCACTTTGACGTCATGGTGATCCCACTCAGTCTCTGATCCCTGAGGGTCCACTGGATAGTTCCTCCTCTCTTTTCTTCCCAGCCAGCTGATTTGCTCCAAAGCTCCTTGTGTTACTGCTGTTGGTGCTGATGCCCAGCAGAGCGCACTGATTTTTTAGTACACAAAACCCTGAAGAGTCAGTGTAGTGTGGCAGAAGAAAGAAGAAAGCTTCTTTGGCTTCTTGTGTGCAAAAGGTGAAGACAGTGGCTGTGTAGAAAAGCTTGTCGGTGTGCTAGATTTTACAAGGTGTTTGACATTTAATCTTTTAAATGAGCCAAAGATATAACCTGATAAATCTACCTGAGCAGGATTATCCTCTGCCTTTAAAGGCACTGAAGAGGAAGCCTAAATGAATACAGTGCCTATTTTCTTGCATACCAACAGATACTAGATGATGCCTTGGTGTTACCTGTATAAAACATTAAATAGTCTGAGAACTAGGCTCTCAAGCCAGTTGCTTTCACTGTCAAAGAAGTCTTTTATCTGTCTTAATCACCAGAATCTATTTGGAGGTAAAATCCCAGGTCGGTACTGTGGGATTCCAAATACACATGTAATCATTGGCATAATTAAATCCCCCTCTAGTGGCTGATCCACAAAGTTTCATGAATTACTGCTGCTGCATTGTACAGGTCTGTGGCAAGAGCTCTGTTTCACACCACAGAGTGTGATTTTCTTGATGCAACCATTTGATTTCAGAAAAACACCCTTTGACCCAGGTGGCCAAGTGAAAATATTCTGTTCATTTTATGGCAACAAAATGCAGGCAGTCATTTGACATGCTTTGGACAACTGTTGTTACCTGCAGGAAGCTCTGCAAATTGAGATTTTCAGTCTCTTCACCTTGGTATTTTTAATGTAAAACCATGTACCTTAAAAAAAAGGTCTCCCAGCTTCCTTCTGAATATGGGGAGTAAAAGACAGCCACTCTGTTTATAAGGGCTGAGTTGGACACACCTCTTGGGCAGGTTCACCTATCTTTTCTCTCAAAGCAGGAGAAAATATTGGTGAAGAACACACCTTGCATAGCTTCAAAGTGCAGCAGAGTGTGAATGTACTGCTCTGTTTCACTGCTGTTGTGGCTTGGTAGTTCTGACCCAGAGATCACAAAGGGAACATTAGAAAGCATGAGAAAACATCCAGTGGAAAATTATGGAAACATACCTAAAACTAGCTGGAAGGGAGGGCAGGGAAGATAACAGGTGCTAACACTAGATAGTGGAATATTGTGGAAGGCAATATTTTGGGTTCATGAATTAGGACTGCCATATAAATATGTATTTCCTGTATTCACTGTTCTTTTTTTTTTTCTTTTTTCACATACATACCTGCCAGCCAACACCATTCTAATGATGCTTATCCTTGCTTTTTAGTTTAATGATATCCTGTTGTACACAAGTAGAGGCCTGACAGCATCCAATCAGTTTAAAGTCCATGGGCATCTTCCACTGTATGGCATGATAGTAAGTATTGTGAGAACTTAAGGGATTCATGCTTAAGTGGCCATTTGTGGTCCCATTTAAGTGCTTGATGAATTTCTGCTGGGCTGAAAACAGCAGCAAACTGGGGGTGTTCTCTAAATCTGTCTTGGGTTCAGCATCTGTTCCTGCAGCCTTCTGCACAGAGGTGATCACATAGCAAAAGTGAGGGGGGAAAAGGCATTTCTGAGGGCTGCTTCCTCACAATGCAGACTTCTCTGGAGATGCATTCTTTGTTTTTTTTCAATCATTAATTTGACCATGATTCTTATAAGTAATTCGTCACCAATTCATTATAGACACACACAAGACAAGTAAACAGTAGCAACGATTTAATTTCTATTAAAAATGCATTTCCTAATGTTCCAGCTCTATCTCTTAAAGCTAAAGTAGTGAGAATCTGGCAGCAAAATGTTGTTTGGAGCTCTTGTTGCAATTCTCCTGGAAAATTCAAGCCAACAGCACCTATTTACCTCTTCTCGTACTGTTTCAAAAATATTTTTGCTGATTTCAAATATATTTTTGCTGATTTTCATTCTCTCCATTACTTTCAACGGAACTTCTCAATGTTTGGTATCAATTGCATGCTGTTTTCCTGAGAATTAAATTAAATTGTCACTACCACAGTTGATTTTCTCTAAACACTTGCAAATTTTCACAGAATCTACTCACTTGTTGATGGCCATTTGGCCTGGACTTGCTCTCAGCAGAGCTGTGCTATGCTACAGTTCCCAGAGCACTCCCAGCATTTAACACATCCTTTTGTTCTATAAACCATTCTTCTGATAAAAATACTGCTATTTTCTTTGACACAAAGCAGACAAAGCCATGCTTTTGGTTCAAGACATTACTGCAGAACTTACTATTTTTCCAGCTTGCAAGGCACTGTTTTTTTCCTCAATACCTAGCTCAAATTTGTTTGTGAGCATTTCTCCTCTTTTATTTTCCCCAATGGTAAGAGCTCATTCAGTTCACTGTTTTACCTTAAGAAATATGTACTTCCTGCAATCTGACTGCATTTGGCCTTTTACCTCTCAGATGGAGGAAAGTGAGGAGGAATGGGGAGTTCCTCACTGTCTGACACTGCGAGGTCAACACCAGTCCATCGTTGTTGCTGCAAGGTAATTCAGTGGAGACAAAGTCCACATGTGAGTTGTCTTTCTCTGCAGCTGTCACAGTGGGACAGAGAGGCATCATTTTGTTTGTATTTGCTCCTAAAACCATCTCCTCAAAGGTATATTCTTTTGTGAAAGCCACTTGTTAAGAAAAAAGGGGATGGCACACAATAGAGTGGCAGTTGTGCAAGTTGGAACCAAAACTAAGTTATCATGGAGAAAAAAGTAGCATCTTGTGTCTGTATTCATTTCACTTAAAAGTAAGCTCAGCTTGTGTCTGTTTCTTAGTAGAAAAAAGTAGCATCTTGTGTCTGAATGTATTCATTTCACTTAAAAGTAAGCTCAGCTTGTGTCTGTTTCTTAGAGTTTGCTTTCAGCCTGTATGAAAGTGAATAAAACCTGAATTTTCGTTGTTAGTACCCGCGCTGAAATGGACAAATGGACTGAGGACATCCAGATGGCAATAGACCTGGCAGAGAAAAGCAGTGGCCCTGCCCCAGAGTTACTGGCAAGCAGCCCACCTGACAATAGTAAGTAAATGCCAGAGAGTAGTTTTTATTCACTTTTGTCACTATGATTGGTGGTTGCTTCTAAGCAAAGTGGTGAGAAGTGCTGGCCACAGGTCAAACTGAGACATTTGAAGTTGATTTATACACATATATATGTATAGATATATTTCATTTTAATGTTCTTGTTGATGTTAGCAGAAAGTTTCATTGAATAGAGAAGTGACTTAAGCATAATGATTCCAGGAACTATTTGGGCAGTGCCTGTCCTTGGAAGGTATTAAAAACACCAGCAAATCATGGTAGTTAGCCTTTAATTCTAACATTTGCAGAAACACATAATTAATATATAAAATATAATAATCTATTTAAAGTCTGCACAAAATTATTTCTAAAATGGTGTTTTAAAATTAGTTCACAATACTGCGGACAGAATTGATTTGTTTAATTTTTCCAATTATATATGTTGTTGCATAGAGGAAGAAAGATGCTTTTTCCCTGCATTTCATAGAGTCTCCTGATGAAACTACTGTAGACCAGGAATCTGAGGACGACCTCAGTGCATCCCGCACCTCACTCGAACGTCAGTCACCACACCGTGGCAACACTACGGTGCACGTCTGCTGGCACAGAAATACCAGTGTTTCAATGATCGACTTTAGTATTGCTGTGGAGGTATCTGCCTCAGAACAACCTGAACTGCAGCTCCAGGCTCGCTTTTGAATGACAATTTCCTTTTTGCTCCTCCTTACCAAGCGCACTGTTCCCTTGTCTCCTCCTGGGGAAGTTCAGGCACGCTTATTAAACCGCCTCCCATGTTCCCAAACGATGGCGTAAACCGTCACTCAAGAAGCACAGATCTGCTCCTGTAGTGCACATCTGTAAAATCAGTTAGAGCAGTAATTTTCATAGAAGCAACTGTCAAAAAAAAAAAGCTGATGCCCTTTAGAATGTGAAGCAGTTCAAACTGTCTTAATGCTTTCAGTTACAGAGGCATTAAGTCATTGCTCGAGCGGAAAGGATATTGTCTTTAGCTGCTGCAGCCAGAGTTTTAATTATGTGTATTACTAACATACTTTCTTTACCTAGCCATCTTTTCTGGAACCTTGTCTCATTGCTCAGTCTCATCTGCTTTTTCTTTATTTGCATTTTCCACCTCAAAATAAACCCCTTTTTTACCACTCTGATCACAGCTAAGCCAATTTGATACACATTCGTTAATTCTGTACTCAACAGCCAAGGTGCAGACATTGTCTTTTCAAAGATTGAAATGAAAGACTCCTAGCTCAGTATAGGTTTTAGAATGAGGTGGTAAGCCTGCTGAGGTGTTCTTCCTTCACCAAAGAGAGTCTAAGGAGCTCTGTGTACTTTATCACAGCCCTCAGCAAATGGAAATTTATGCTCTATGAAAATGGAAGAAGGAATCTTAAAGCTGAGTGGATTTGCACTCGAGTGGCAGCCCTCAAACATCAGGCCACCATTGCTCTAGAGAAGAGATACTGATGCAGAACACAGGGATACAAGGACAAACATATTCACAGTTTGTGTAACTGCCTCTGTTTTTAAACAGGAGGTGAGTTTGTTGCTGAAGTATGACAGAATTATTCCATACTAAAAAATGCTGACTTGCAGAGCCTCATTTCGGTCCCACACAGGTGGGATTTTCCATTCTTCATACCCTTATATCCTGCAAGGGAGGAATAGTTCAGCACAGGACAAAGTCTCATATTTTTTCCTAAAGCAGAGGGCTTATATAAATAGATATAGAACTTATACCAGTGACTCATTCTAATGATTAAAAAAGTTAGTTAGGCAAATCTAACTAGGTCTGAGATCAGTGTTCATTGTTGCTCGTTTTTGGTCCTTCCCTGTGCCTCAAATGAACACAAAGCAGTGAAGACCAAGCACACCCTGGAGCCATGCGTTGTTCTGTGAAAACATCTCCAGCTCCACTGCTGCTCCATGCGTGGCAGGTCCCGCTCATGCTCACGTCGTCCTGTTGGTGCCTCTCATGTCAGCATTATCGTTTATTTTCTTTGTGTCTCTCCCTCCTTTCTGTCTCTCTCGTGGTAGAAGAGCCTCTCTCTGTCAGTGACTGTTCCTCCCTACCTGCTGGACTGATCAGTGATCAGCGGCCTGTTTCCATTTCATATGTCTGCTGGTACCGAATGCAAAGCCTGTCCTTTTATGATATCCTCCAGAGTAATGAGGTAACAGAAAATTAAGGAGTACACCTGTAACTTAGGGCAAGGAGGCAGTAGTCCAGATACCAGAGAACAGGATGAGTTAAAGGAAAGGCTTTAATGCATATCCAAGGCGAAAACAGAACTTTTTAAGAATACTTCATTTGTAGTAGCTACACCAGGAACCCCAGATTTCAACTATTAAGCATTACAAATAAATGCAGCTTCTGCATTAGATAAAGAGGATGATGTAAACAGCTATTGTGATCCAGGCAAGAGCCCTCACAGTCAACAAGGAATGGGAAGTCATTAATAATTCACTGAGAACCCCCCTTCATTTGCAAGGAGCAGTGATGCTTGGCTTTCCATCTTCACTATGTGAAGAGCAGTTGCTTCAACCAGCCATTAAATACATGTACTTGGTTATGGCTTTCTCCTCCTTTATGTTAAACTATGCAAAATCCAGCTAAAAATAAGGTTAACAGTCCTTGGTTTTGAAATCTTTGAAAAGTACTATGTGAAGTCCCTGGGTACGGAGACCTGAATCTCTATCTGCAATTCTAAAGTATGTCATAATTTTCCTTTACATCACAAATTCATGTCAGAATTTCTGTTTCCATTTTATTTAAGTACCATTCTAAAAGAAGAGAGTAGGATTAACAAGACTGAGTTTTAGTAACAGCTTGCCAAAAGCCACCTCAGTTGATAAAATAATTAGTGTAGTAGCTTTGAGTTTTTGGAAGTACCCAGCTGCAAACAAAAATATACATAAAGTACTGCTCAGCAGTAGAAAAATGCAGAAGAAAAGTACGTTCAGTCAATCGAAGCATTTTCATTTACAACCAGGTCACATAAAACCAGATAAAAGCAAATAATTTTTCTTAAAATAACTAAGCTGCAGGCACCTTTCACTGTTTTACTTGGCTGCTTTTGATCTGTTTCAGAACCAGCTGTCTGGAAATCTGCTAAGAAAATTCAAAAACAGCAATGGGTGGCAGAAGCTTTGGGTGGTGTTCACCAACTTCTGCATGTTCTTCTATAAATCGCACCAGGTAACCGACTGGGCAAGTGTGAGTGGTTGGAGAAGACAGTGGGGGGTTCTTTTCCAAAGAGGCAGCTGAGAGAAAAGTGGATATCAGTTATGGATGCTGTAGGCTGGAGCAGCAGGTGCACTGGGCACGGCTGCACACACAGCCTTCACTGCCACTGGCACACAGAGCAGGGCTTGTTCTCACTGCTCCTGGGTCAGTTCTTTACTGAAGCTGTCAGCAGTCACAGTACAGATCATGCTTGAAAGCACAGCAGAGCTCACCACTGCTCAGAAGCTGTGGTACAAGTTCAAACCAGGCTTTTATCACTACAATTAAAAACTTAATAGTGACTTACAAATTCTGTTTACCATTACTGACACTTAAGCCAAACAAGAGAACAGCGATCAATTATTTAATCCACCTAAGCATACATTCTACTGCAAAAGTAGGAGATTTCTGTTTAGAATCTGTTGGACTTACGAATCTCTTTGAGCAGGGCATAAGCACAAAGTAACTCAAGTTGCTACATTATGCTTTGTTATAGAAATCCTTAATGATTAAAGAAGGAATTTGAGGATACTCCACACGTAAGAGGGATAAAGAAATCATTTGCCATGCAGTAACTGGACTTCAGCAGTGAACCTGCTGGGTGGCAAGCACAGCTCCAAAGGATTAGGAGTTTGCAAGCTGAGGATGAACCTGGGTGGTGACCTGCCAATGGCAAATGATGGAGCATTATGTTCATCAGTTTGAAAGTAGTGAAACTCCAAGATATTAGCCAGCTTTCCTTCAAGGAAATACTGATAGGATCAGCCTGCAGCAGATCCTTGGGCAAAGGGTCTGTAATGATGACCAACTGAAACTACCAGACAATTAATCTTACTGCAGTTGTATAAATCTGGTATTTTTCTGCACATGTGTAGAAACACAATCTTTAAATGAGGGTGTATCTGCTTTCCATTTACTTATGTGCTCTCTTTATTTAAAGACATTTGATCTCACATTGATCTCCGTCATATCTTTCCAGGACAATCATCCTTTAGCCAGCCTTCCTTTATTGGGATATTCACTTACCCTTCCTTCTGAATCTGAAAACATTCACAAAGATTATGTGTTCAAGCTACATTTCAAATCCCATGTGTACTACTTCAGGGCTGAAAGTGAATACACCTTTGAAAGGTAAGTTCATTTTTGAGAAAATTTTTGTTAAATTCCAGAAGCATTCTTCCAAAGGTTAGTAGACACCAAGTTTATTTAATTATTTGTTTCAGTAATACAGGCAAGTGGTTTAGCACAACTGGAGAAAGGAACTTTTAAAATTATAAAAGAAATTTTAAACCTGATACTGCTAAAATCAAGTGATTGGTTGTGATGATATGGAAGCAGTTATAGTAATTACTGCAAAACCTGGAATTATCCAGTCAAAATTGATCAGGCTGGCTATATGGGGAGCTCCATGCCTCAGACTTCAGGAAGCATGTGAACAGATCACAGGATACCTCAGTGGCTCTTCAGAATAGCTTTGCTTCCTTTAGTACAACTGCATGGAAAATCCACACCTGAAATAAAATTCCAGTTTTTATAGAAGCAGCTGTTCCTACTACATATTTATGCCACTTCACCATGTAATTTTTACACCTCCCACTAAACTTCAGATACATGGAGAGTCAGGGAAAAGGCACTACTCCTCCTAAGTTCTGGTTTGTGATTGTTCGTACAGGGAACTAATTTAGCTCTTTTATATGAACCATGAACGTCACAAATCATGATGTCTTCATCAAACAAAACTGCTCTTAACCTTTAGCCGTGTCAGTCCAAAACTGTAAACAAGGCAAATTGTGGGAAAGTGGTGATAAAATAAAAACACAAAATGCCTTTATCAGTTCTAGGAAAAAGCAGAAATTGCAGCTAAAGTACATTTTTTTGCTGTCAGATTAAGAATGGTTGGTCTCAATTGCTCATTGCTTGGACCTCTCAGAAAAAAAGATATTTGGTGTCTGCAGAGCAAGTAAAACCACTATTAACTTCACCCCATACCTACTGTTTGGGCCCTGCTGTCTGTTCTCTCCAAACCTCCTTACAGTTTTGGCAGTGGATCCTCTTGCCTTGAGACAGATTTAGGGGTGAAGTAAGAAGATGCTCCCGCAGGCACTAAAAATCCAACTGTACAACCAATAGCACAGACTGTACCTGTCAAAAAAATCCTCCCAGGGAACTGACCTTCCTTTTGTTTGTGTCTCCTCGTGCCTCCTCACAGATGGATGGAAGTGATCCGAAGTGCCACCAGCTCTGCCTCCCACACTCGAGCTCTGAGTCACAAAGAGCCTCACGCCTATTGACGGCTCAACAAGCCGCTGCGTTGATTGTCCAGCAGCTGCTGATTTTCTAGAGGACATTTGAAACTCCTTTTCTCCCTCCAAGTTTAGGAAAATTTACACTTTGGTAAAAGAAGAGAATAAGTATGGTTTTGCAGAAACTTTCACAATTCCTCAGCAAAACTGTTTTAAGTTCTCCGAATATACAAACTAGCTTACCATCATCCCAGTGGCTGCAGTTCATTTCATGTCTTGTATTTTGTCATTCTGTGCTGTTTTTAGCTTGTGCCAGTATTAAAATATTGTCCTTATTAGAGTGCCAAATGCCAAAAGACGTTTTGTTGCCTCAAAGATTGCACCTAAAAGAACTCCCAGATGACTGAAATCTGAAAACTTTGTCCTCTGAGGCAAACACTATTTTCTTCTCTTTTCATAAAAATATATTATTTTTTTTTACCATGTTAATCTATAGACTGCTGGGCTTTTAAATGTAGATGGATTTTCACAGTATAGAATATAATTATATATACAGAAAGCAGTCTAACAGGAATGAGATAACTTTCAGATTTCATGCTTTTTTTCCCAGTCTTTTTACATTTAATCAGCAATGATTTACTAATTTTCCATGTTTAACAAGGAAACAGTTGACAGCTCATTCTCATTTCCCTTTGGGGTCACAAATCCATGCAGTATAAATAAAGTATAGGGTTCTTATCTAACCATTTTTTTGGTGCAAGTTGACCAAATTGTTCATCTGTTGGCTTTGAAAAGTGAGTACTACTTGCAAGACGAAAAATTTTTTAAATAATCCAGTGCAATATTATTTGGGCTATTAGTGTACTGTGAATGGTTATGTACAAGAAGAAATTAAAGGCTGTGGTGACATTCTGCTGTTTGTTTTACAAACTTGAAAGACAACCTGTATCCTACAAGAACCGCAGCTATTTGTGATTCATTTGTAGTGTTTTGGTAACTAAATTGCTCTAAGCTGCGGGGTACTGCTGAAGCCCCAAGTTTTCATCCTGCTTGCTACACATCCCAAACTGACTTCCAGTTTATTGTTGGAATTTCAGTCTCTCCCTCTCTTCCCTGGGGCTCAGGCAGACAGAGAGTGACTTACACTACCTGCAGCAGAATTACCCATTTCGTATGCCTAGCTTTAACATCAGCTGGCACCGCATTTTGGATAAGCTGGTTGGCAGCACTGTATCTGCAAGGCTTAGATGCTTTCCCTCTCGTTTTAAGAAACTTTGTCCCTCGGGTGATGTAAAGGATCCATTGGCAGAAGTTTGCTGTGCTGGTAACACCCATCACCATGACAGGCTTTGGAGGAAGCACGGTGCTAAGCAGAGGGGCCTGAAGGTCAGTCTGGGAAACAAAGCTGGGGAAGTTCTATCCCTGCTTTTTCTTCATCCAGCTACTCGCTTTGTTAATGGCTTGTCTGTGTGCGATGTGTAAAATGGCTTCTTACAGCTTTGCTCACAACAAAAGGGAATAAAATACCTCACACCATTGTACATATGCCTGTTTCGAAACAGTAAAGCGTTCTTTCTGCTACCCCCAACCCCAGAAATACCTCTGTCCAAGATGAGGATGGGCTCCAAACCCTTTAGGACAAGCAGCAGTCCCCATGGCCAAATCCAAGCACACCCTGACAAAGGGAAACTCTTTTCTGAGCATTTCCTTCAGCTGCAGGGAGACCTTCAGCCCCCTGGGCAGGTAGAGTGCTGCACTTGCTCTTTTCCTCAGCTAGTGCCCCTGGCTCTCCGTACCAGTGCAATAATCACACCTACCTGGAGCACTGCCTCTGGCTAAGACATGCTGAAGGACAAGCTTGGAAAGTAAGTAGGAAAACCTGAAACCCATTTTCTCAGCTGCAGGTTCCACTGCCTTGTTCATTCCAAGCCTGTGACCCTGCCCTGTAGTAATATACAGGAATTCCAGTGCTTCAGGACTGACCAGGAATGCGAGCAATGATCTGTGCGAGAAGAGGAAATAACACAGCACAGGTGGACAACAACTCAGCTGCAGCCATACTGGTCTGGGAAAACAATGCTGAAAAAGCAACAGCATTTGGTGTTGCTATGAAGTAAAATGCTGCAGACCTGGTCCTGCCAAAAATTATTATTATTATTGAGTGGTAAAATAGTACCTTACAAGACAGGACCCTGCCTCTTCCCTTTAGAATTGTTATCTATAACAGTGAAAGGCTTTTTTTAAATGGAAATTATATTGAGGGCCATGCCCTTAATTCAGCCAAAACTGAATTTTAATTTAGAACCCTGGGGCTTGTTGGATAGAATGTTCATCAACTGCTATTTGCTGCAGTAGTTTATTCTGAGCTCTCCAAAGGAATCAAGCAACACCTTTTCTCATTAAGTTTCATTTTTACACAAGGTGAATTTGGAAAATAAGGCAAAGACCAAAATACAGTGATATTGTTAACGGCAGAGACCAAGTTAGGCTGTGGGTGCAGCTTTCAGAATACCCACCTAATCACCATTTTCATCTTTTTGTATTATTTTTCCTATTAAAGTTTAACACAAGATTTTTTTTTTTCTTCTCTACTGGTGTGATTTTTAAATTTCTTTTTAAAATGGAACCATCTGAACTGCTGTCACCTGTCAGCATTTTTTGAGGTGTCTATTCCCACGGTTAACCCAAAATTGAAACAATAGTAAAAGAGTAAAATCAATTGTCTTGATGCTCCTATCTTGGAAATAGGCAGAGTCTATGTGTGTGAATAAAACTCAAATGTACTAGAAAGCTCTAATGTACAACCACTTATTTTTAATCCTGGTTCACATTACAGCAGTGCCTGTTCAGCCAGGCAGGGCCTGCAGAGAGGGAGGGTCACTGTGTGCCAGGTCAGGAGCTATCACTACACACATCTCTCTCAGCTGCAGGAAAACCTTAGATGGGGCACTCCAGGAGATTTGCTGCTGGTGTTGTTATTACTCACCATGAAATAGTTGTCAGTTTCCAATAATGGACAAATAAAAACAAAACAGGGACTTCACTGCCTCAGGAGGTAGCACCACAGGCAAAGGGATCAAAAAAGCCTGGACTCCTGTGGTTTGTTCAAGAGGATTAAGCATCTCTACCATTTATCTGCTGTCTAATTTAACCTCTGCTAAGATGTGTTTGATAATATACCTCAAACCTACATCTTTTCAGAACATTTTATTTGAACAACACTGACACCTTAATGCCTTCATAAATTCAGCTGAAACGAGACAAAAATGACAGACTGAAAGACAAGTCAGCAGGTAGGGGAAAACATGCTGTGATTGCAGAAATCTTGATAAAAGTCTCTGACTAAGGAGGAAGAAAAATTCGTTTTAGAGACAAAATCAGGTGTAAAAACCTGTCATTCCATCAGCCAAGAACGAGGATCAAGAAAGACCTGAAAAGCCAAATTTTGCCCATTCTTTCTTTTTATATACAACCAATTACATGGTCTTAGCCCTCAAAAGCACAGTTACCTACGTGCAGGCAGATGCACAACTCCAGTTGCTACAGCACATGGACACTGCCTCTGCCCTGGGGCATAGCAAAGCTGGTAGGGGACAAAATAATGGGCAATGTGCCACACATACAGTTTTAACAGCAGAAAATAGTAATGAAGCACATCTACAGGAGCGCAGCTGCCACACAGTTTGTCACCAGGTAATGGTGCAATCCATATAGGTTGTTGTAAGCACTTAAGTTTCACTGGGCTGGCAGGATGGGTTTTAAATCACTGCCATCTCCAAGTGCTACAAATTCTGAGCTGATTGCCATTAAAAACCCAACACTGTTTAATAACTTTTCTGCATATCATTACTGACACGTGGGTAATAACTCCCACAGAGCATCCCCTCCAGGGAAGGGGCCCTGATCCCATCTCACTGACCACTCAGGTGGCAACATTTCATTAAACTTTTCCTTCTTTATTTCCAGGTCACGTAGATTACAAGGAGGTTTACTGTGTTGGTGTAGAGTGACAAAAGTAAAATTTAAATACATGGCTATATACAGGCAGCAACATTACAGAAAACAAGACACACACTTTCATGGTCCTCTGTAATCATGCATTACAGGTGGCAGGAAACCCTTGCATACAATTTGTCCATGGCATGTGCTCAGTGCAGTTCCCAGCACCTCTGCACAACACAGTTAAGAACAGGAAGCACATTTGAGCTATAGCTTCAGCTCCTCCCCAGCAGCCTACAAAACCCCTTTGGAATTGTCCTGATCCTTGCATGATACCTGTGCTTATGCACACTCTGGATAATCTTCCAGTTGTGACATTTTTGAAGGCAAAAAACATTTCCTTCAAAGTCAGATTACTGTAAAACTACTACTGGTACCACGCAGTTTAGAAAGTAATACAGAATATCACATGAAGTAGTGAGAGCTAAAGAAGACATTGCTCAACTACATTAAAAGCACATTAAGAGGCAGATGATGGGTGCCAGGGTACAGGAGGATGGGAACTCACACTGAGCCAGCTGCTTTGCAGTGAGCTGCCAACACACCCAGCCTCACCTTCCCCCTCCACCTGCCCCTCTTGCACAGCAGGGGCAGAACACCCCAGTCAGGGCATTCCACAAAGATCAGTTTACCTTCTGTTCCCACACGCTCGCACACAGTGATGGAGCTGCAAAGGAACTGTGGCACTGCAGAGTGAAGTTACTGCTTTGTTACTGCACCAAAAGCGTTCTGTGCCCTAGCACATCATCCTTCAGCAAACTGGTCAGCAACTACAAAGTGCAACTGCAGGGAAAAGTAAGGTAAAAAAATAGATCTGAGAGTTACAAAAAAGCAAGCCTTCAGTTCAAATAACTGATTTTATTGTTTTTAAATAGTGAGTTTATTTACTGCCTAATCATGAAATCCCTGACAAATAAGCAGTTCTACTAATTTAAAGGTTTGCATAAATAGGGATAGCTTGTCATTTAGTATAGTCAAGACTGAGTGAAATACTAACTGCACAGAAAAATCATCAGTGCAACATTGTAACACAGACATGTTTTAAGCATGAAAAAAACCTCTCAAAAATATCAATACACTTCTTTTCCTCTGAGAAACTGAGGCGGTGCTTCTTTCAAATGAAGCTCCTCTTCTGTTACCGATACAGACCTGATTTTTAAAGCATCCATACTTTTTAATAGCAAATGATTGTACTTCTACATTCAAGATACAGCACACTTTTTTTTTCAGTGAATCTCAGTTTAAGATAGTCTATATTTAAATAATCTGTATATTACATATAAAAATACACATCTCTACCATAAATGAGGTCTTGTCTTCTTCTGAATGCCCAAGCCTTTTGGCCACCTGCCCTCACCACAAGTCTTATTCATCTTAAGCTCTGACACATCCATCAAGCAAATTCTGCCACTCTCTACTCAGAGAAGTACTTCCTCAACATACGGTCCTGGAACACAACTAAAATGCAACTCAAAACACATATATATATAACTTTTCAAATGAGTGTTCAAAGAGTGTAGCTTAGAATTTAATTCAACTTTCTGATTGATAAATTCCTGACATTCAAGCCAGCAGCATAAGTTTAACTTCCCCACTAAGTCTCAAGAGTTCTGTGCATCTCCAAGTAAGCTCACTTTAATTTCCAGTCCTTACATTAACAGATGACTAGGGAATAGCTTACACTGATCAATTTATATTCCCAATGCAAACACACCTGTTGATTTCCTTGTGCAGTCACAGCACAGGGATCTACTGAATGCTAAATGTTCTCCTATTGAGACATCAACAGGTAAATTTCCATTGCACTGCATTCTGATGCCCATTTCACAAAAGCAGTGCTAAATTGGTTTCCTCAAAAGTGAGCTTATCCATAACACTTAGGAGCACACTAAACATAATTAAAAATAATAATCCAACTGGAGCTGTAAAACATTGCTCAAACTTTAGCATTGTTCAATTTATTTTAAATTCCCTTAGCCATAAAGGCAACACATTACCTAATTAGGCTGGCAAATGAGTAATGCCTGAAAGCACAAGATGAACACACACCCACATTTCTTCCAACTGTTGTTTCAACCTGGGCAGAAGTTTATTAGCTCTGTTAGCAAGACAGTGTCCTCTTACTGTTAAATTCTTAAATTAATAAATTAAGGCTATTAATATGCATAGACTAAGGGCTACCATGGTGATAGAAGTCCTGGAAGGCGACCTCACCAGCTTCCACAATGGTTAGAGTACCTGGGTTTCTTGTACCAAGGCAGGCAGATATGCCTGTATTTTAAATGTTAATCCTTTCTGTTCCAAAGCTCCCGTCTATATTTTTAAAAAAATGTAAATATATAAGTTACCTCACGGTCATGCAAAGCATAAAGTCATCGATTGCTTCATTAAAAGAAGGCAAAAATGCTCTCTTAGCTACTGGAATAAGTAGAACCTGAATATAGTCTTGGTGAAACCAACCAAGGTAAACCTCAGAGTAATACTGTGGGGGGGAAAAAGAATAGCAGCTACCTAATCAACTGTGCATACAACTAATGAACTAGTATTACTGTTTCCAAGATCTGTGACACCTGAAGTCAGCTCTCTAGAAGCCCTCACAGGAATAGTGGAAATTTTAAAATTCAGAATTTCAAGAAGTAACTTTTCTCTGGAGAGGCAAGCAGCAGGACCCAGCACCCAGCACTTGGGCTGTTTCGCAGTCTCTCTGCCCAACATCTGTCCATTTTGGTAAAGAGATGCACAGATCTAGGCAGTGAGACCCAATACTGAATCTATGGATAACTTTTCTTTTATGCTGAAAGACGTTTCTTTTAATGATAAAAATAGGCATGATAAAGAAATACTTGGAACTGTCTCCGAATCTACACCTTAAGGAGATACTTCAGAATAAATGAAGGGAATAACGATTTCTCTGAGTATTTAAACACTTTCAGGTGAAAAAAGACTGTGTCTAAATTTCACGAGCCTCCCAAATATCTGTTACTAAAATGGAACTATTTCAGAATTTGCATTGGCACAGTTTGAAACTGAAGATATGAAAGAACTCATTCTCTAGGAAAAATAATAATTTAAATTTAAAGCTTTGAGAGACTAGGTGTATGAAATTTAAAACAAATAGAAGTAATACCACAAATAGAAAGTGAGGCTCAGAATATAAGTAAAAAGAAAGAAATGCTAGAGAAACAGAATAAAATTGTGTCTGTGCTGAGGTACAAATAGAAGGTTCTATAATACAGTATTAACTCTTTCAATGGCAAATACTTCACATACAAAAATCTAACCAAGATTCACTTATCACATATTTCAAACTTTACATGTAATAAAGGCAAGGCAATACTCAGTTATGGCCTGTCAAATGTTTACCCCACTAACATTATCTACAAAAGCACTTTACCATTTTGTACACAGTGATTCCTTATGCACATTGAAAGGCTTTCTTTTAAAAAAGACATTATATACATATCTGTACACAATACCAACAACCATGCTCCATCTCTCAGTGGAATTCTTAAAGCAGGATACCTGAGGTTTCTCAATATCTTCAATTTCTCTATCACAAACCTAAATATACATTTCAGATTTTACAAAAGGACACCTCCCTGGAATATGTGAATTATCATCTTAAAAAATTATAGCTTTAAGGAGCTGAAAAAGATTGCCTCCATCCAAGAGACTTCATTTTCACTCAGAATGTCCTTCCTCCCAAGGACTTTCCAGAGACTGAGAGGCAGAACAGCATTAGGGTGCACGCCTTCAATGCAGACACCATGGCATCTCTGCTGTCTTGGGAAAGCCAGGAAGGAAGAGTATGTCAGTAGGATGAAGAACTTCCTCCAGCTAGGGAATATCTGAAGAGGAAAATAAATAGTTACTGTTGCAACTTTTAGAAAGACATTCTACACGAAGCAGCAATGAAGTGATTCCATTTTATGCTGTTGAAGTTCTGGCCTTTTTCCTTGCACAATGGCACTCACCACTGCCGCCACACCTTAAAGGAAGAGCTGTGAACAAGCCTGTTAGAGTATCACTGCTTCCTAACAAACAGCAACAACCTTTGCTCAAATGTGTTACTGAGCAGCACTTAATGATGGAAGAACATTTAGCGACTCCAACTTTCCTACTCTGCAAACTTACATCAAATCTTTTCAAAATATTACTGGGCCAGGACAACTCTATCTCTTGATCTAAGCAGATTCTTAAATCATCCAAAGAAATAAGAAAACCTTTTAATCACATTAAGTTTCCAGTAAACTTCACCAAACATCCAAAATCAAAACTGGAGGGGGAAGGTAACTGGATTCACGCACATTACTGGGCAGCTATTCTAAAGGTCTCAGTTAATTCATTCAGACAAGCTTACAAAATCCAGTCCTAACCAATGATAAGGGGGAGTGAAAATGTAATCAGAAACTTGTTGATGGAAACCTATCTTCAGTAATTAGCTATCCGATTGAGAAGGTATTATACTGAATGACCTGATGATGTAACAGAGCATACTTCTTGTAGCACTTGAACAAGAAGGAATTATTTTTTCAGAATTTGACTAGCTCAAAAAAAACCACCTTTATCCCCAAGGGAAAACTACTCAGCTATGGAATGATTCAAGCTCATTTTTAGTGGGAGTTCTTGCTATTCATTCTTTCACTCCCTTTCTGGAGTCATTATCCCATACTAGCTGGAATACAATCCCTGAAAAATAGAGCAAGTTCATCCAGGTGTGACTCCCTGACAAACATTCTCTGAATAATTGTTTCTCTCCTAGAAAGAGAATGGAGTGCTTGCCTTCACTGCTCTAAGACATTATGACTAAGAAAAACAGTAACAGTCGAAGGAAGCAGAACAGAAGGAAAGCAATACTAAATAGGTATATAAAGGGTTCTGAAATCTTTCTGACAGGACAAAAATTATTAATGTTGCTGTCGTGACAGCAACATTAAGATCACTTCCAGCATCCCCAAAAATGCCCATGTCTTGGCACTGTCTCCACATGGCCATTTTCAGCCTCAATTGCAGCATCAAGTCTTTGAGGTTTCCAGTTCCAGGAAGATCCTGTACCAGACTGATAAAAATATGACACTGAAATATTAGCTGATGAAAGACTGGATTCAATTTTGGAACCCCTAATGGAAACAACTGAGATGGAAGCTTCAGCAACTCTTTCAAGTCTGCCAGGACCAAATGAGACAGGACATCTGGCATTAGAAGTAACCTTTCAGCACTAGAGATGCTGACTGGGCTTCATTCTTAACAGCCCATAAAACAACAAACATGATTGCTTGCAAGTTTCTTGGCATTGGTTTTTACTGAAGGAGAAAGTGTCACCCTGGAAATCCTGTGCTTCAGCTTCAAAGCTGTGAATTCCTAAACTTTACCAAGCTGTGGTTAGAGACAGTGTAAGGGAGACACCTGCTAAGGGTGATCTTTTTCCATGTAGTGGTCCATGACTAATCATTGACATGAGTTTTTTCTAGTACCAAGCAATCCAATCTGGCTCCTGTGAGTTTCACAACAGCTGTGGGCTCCTAGATTCAATGTTACATTTATAGCCTCTTCCAGCAGCAATTCTGAAATTCATACCTCTTATCTTTTCTTGTGCAGCATTTAAAGGAACAGAAAATTATTTGTTTTAATACATTCCTAAGGAAGGCAGTTAGAAAATCTGATGAAATTTGGCCTTTTGAAGTAAGACCAAATATTGGTTTTGGAGGTGTCACCCAAAAGCCATACAGACTGTCTTTAATGAATGAACAAGGAACCACTGACCATGTGAGTCAGAGAAACACAGACCAACTGAACAGTGAATTTATCCATGTGGGTAAAAGAACCTAAGAGTGACACAGAGTGTTCTCTGCAACACACACCCAGACACCAAGGAAGTGTGTGTCCCTTACAAGAAGTGCAAAGGGAAAAGCCTGTCCAGTCTCATTTAACACCCAATATGCACACCAACAGGATGAACATACATATATGCTATCACCTGAGGCTAGAAATTAGAACTGCTGATATGATTAGGTGTTCTTCCAGTAAGCAAACACAACTGCACAAACTGCAGGCACAAGTGGTTTTCTTCTCCACTAGTAACAAAAATTAATTCTTTCAATTCAACATAAGCCAAATATTAGAATCAGATTTGCAGTTTTCTGTAAGCCATACTGCAATAGTTTCATTACCTCTGAAGCCTCTGCACAAGGTGTGACACCATAGTATCTGCAATGCCTGGACAAGCCTCCTCAGCTAAATAAACTGCCTTCCTCAGTTCTTCTATGGAATCTGTGTTACCACCACACACCTCACTCTTCTCTTTCAACTGAAAGGAAACCAGGAAGAAATATTTTAATAAGATATTAATAAATATTTCTATACACAATATAATGCAGAAGCTTGTTAGCAAGTGACCATCAGTGTTCACAATGTCAGCATTTGACTTTCATCATACACCCTCACATACTGAAGGACTTTTTTCAAGCAGAAGTTTGTCTTTACAGTACTTATCAGGATGTCAATAAAATCTTCACACATCTTCAATCTTCACACATCCTTTTCAGCATGCTCACAGTCAAAAATTACAACAAAGTATCCCAAGGAAAAAAAGCAGTATTTACCCATAGCTGTTTGATTTCAAGATGTGCTTCCTATACTTTAGTATCCATACTTATACACCTATAGTTTATACATATACACTGCAGTAATTTTATCAACTTTTTAAAATAATCGTATCTTTATAAATTCTTCTCTTATCCTTCATATATTCTTTCTCAGAGTTGTTTTTAAGTATTTTGGGGGAGAGCATAAAAATATAAAACTCAGAATGGGAACAAAACAGAGTTTTCAACACTGAAATTCGAAAGTGAAATTCTTGATGATCTGGTCCACAACTGTATCCTGGAACAGATCTTGAGCTTGAAATTTGTAATAAGATAAATATGTAAAGTAGTGTCAAAAATAGAATGCTGCAATCCAAACATTTATACACCTTTTTCTTGTCATGTTCATTGTTTTAGGCCAGCATGTCTGATGTTACTACCATGCATATCAAGTACTGTCAGGAACAAAATACAGATCTCAGAAGCAGACATACCAAAGGCACAGCTAAAACTTAACACAGCAAGTTCCAAATGGGTAGTAGCAACCTTAGGTATCATTAATTATATTTTTCAATTTTTATTCAGATAAACCTTGGAATTGTTATATTTAAAGCAATAACTTACCTCTGCAAATAAAGGGGATATAATTGTAGACAGGCATTGGGATAGAGGCCTCTTTGGGATATCCTTTTCCTTTAAAGAAAAAAAAAATCTGACCAATTTTATTTTTGAAAAAAAGTATCCTCATTGTATGCTAATTAAAGACAAAATGTAGTTCCAACATGCTACACTTTGTGAAAGCTCATTTTCCATATATGGAAAATGTTCTACAACATTCTATTCCAAAGCACTGTGGAAAATAGAGGCTGAATTAAAAATTGAGACTGCAGCACCTCAAATACATGCAAGGTCAAAATTAGAAGGGGAAAAAAACCCAAAAAACCACAAACCAATACCACCAAACTCCCACAATCCTACTGAGCATTAACCAAGTCATAGACATGCTGATATTTACTAGGTTCATCCTGTATGATACAATATTTTTCTTATATTTCTCCAGAATTTTCAGAGCCAGCACAGCAACAACCTGCTCGGGCCACACAGCTTGCAGAAAATACAATGGAGTCATTCCTAAACATCCCTTATTCTGGGTTGTTTGGGTTTAGATTTTTTTTTTTTGTTTGTTTGTTTGTTTTTGGTTTTTTGGGGGGTTTTTTTGGTTTTCTTTTGGATGTGGGCACATTCTGTTCTTTGTTACATTGTAGTCTTTTTCCTTAAAAGACCAAAATGCCTTCTCCAAAACTCCAGCCTAGATTTGAGATTTGCACTGTACTGGTTTTAGTTTACTATACAGAATGAGATTTTAAAAATACAATATTGCCTGGTCTTCCTCCAGTGGTTGTATTTCAAATGAGAGAAATATTTTGGTACATATTTTGTCAACTTCAAAAAAAGACACATTAACTGAATGCCCAAGCTTCAAGACTTACTCAGAAAGTTTTGTGAAAGGCAACTGTAGAAAACACATTTTTAGCAAAAGTTCTGGAAGTTTTACAATATAAATGCTTTTAAAAGCATAAAATTATTACTAAATTATTAAAGCAGAATTATTCTCCTTGTATTATGAAGTCAACATTTTGAGTACCTTATTTCTTTGCAACTCCAAAGGCTGGGCTGCTCCATTCTCTAGACTTTTGGGGTCTTTTTCTCTTATTGTAAAGATCCACTCTTCTGAGTCACTCCCACCTGAAGCTTGACCATCTGCTTCACTTCAAGGGAAAGTGAAAAAAAAAACAATTTTTATTACCTACACCTTACCGCTGATGTTCATTAAATATACACACTAAATATAAAATCTCAGTAAAGACCAAAATCAGGATTCTATTGTGCAGGCGACTACATATAAAGACAAGTATGAAAATTAAGCTAACTTTTTTTTTTTGGGTAAATTAAAAATTTAAACCAAGATACTTCAGCAGATGTAAGGAAGAGGCATTACAGATTGAAAACATTTTCCCAAGTCATAGTAACATTTTCCCAAGCAATATAAACAAGTTACATGAAGTGTTTTATCGCTATCTGAAAACTAGAGTACCTCAACTCGTTAGGAAAAAGGGATGAAATTAGAAAACTAAATTCACTTTTCTTGCCTAGAAAAATAGCTAAGACACTGGAACTGCGATCACTGGAAGGCATGAAGCCATTAATACTGCAAACAAATAGACAGCTGTAATGTCACCCAAGAAATAACCTGATGCTTGCCATTAGCATGAAGCCTGGAAGAGCAGAGAATAGTAGTGTTTCCTTTACTATGAGGTATTTAATCCATTTGTGAATAAGTTGTGGCAATCTCTTCACTCGAATCTCACTTGCACAGTGCTACTTGGCTGCGCAGCTTGAGACCTCCTGCCGGCAGAACAGTTGGCCTCATAACTAAGAAGAGCCCTGGACCCTACATAAAAGAGAGGGTAGTACAGAATATGGGCCAGGAGAGCTTTTCCTCAGTGACTGTTACTTGCATGAAATCCCTGGCAATACTAAAATTAAGACTGCATTCATTTACCAAGGCCACTAAGCTGAAAATCTGCAAATAACTGAATACAGCAATACATGTGCTAAAAATAACTCCTTGGCTTCTAAAGGAGGATATTTTATAGACTCATCAAACTTACGTATCTGAGTCATCAGAACTGGAGTCATCATGACTTTGCTCAGACTTCCACCTCTTGTGCCTGTCAATGAGGTCAGCCAAGTAAGATGTTTTCTTGGAGTTTCGTAAAATGAACTTGTGTTTTAAAAGCTCTTTTGCAGTAGGTCTCTTAAAAGAAAAGAAGAGAGAGTTGGGGTTTTTTTTACCGTGTTTAAGTGTTGAGTGACTCACTACAAAAACAAAGAAATCCAGAGTTTAGTCTTGATACAAATGAGATGTTAAATATATACAGTATCTAAAAAATATACCTGTCACTTATGTTACACCATATTAGAGAAGCTGAATGACACTTACTCATGCAATACATGTAAAGCAGTCAAGTTCTCTACTACACACTGACAAACATGAAACTCACAAAGCTTGGGTCCTTGTTTAAGCAGGCTTCGACAAATTCTTTGAGGGATTTACTGAAGTTTCCTTCCAGCGTTGGTGGATTGTTCTTAGGAATGAGGAATAAAACTTTCATTGGATGTAATTCTGAATGAGGTGGCTCTCCTTTTGCAAGTTCTATGGCTGTTATGCCTAATGACCAGATATCTGCCTGTAAGAAAGAATGCTTTTAAGATTAGATTGGAGAAAGTGCTGCTCTGGTTTAACCAGCAACACACATCTGCTTGCTCACACCGTCCCCTGGTGGAATGGCCGAGGAAGAGAATTTGAAGGGTAATGGGAGAAAACTTGTGGGTTATGAACACTTTAATAACTGAAATAAAATAATAATAATAATAAATTATAATGGAAAAGAAAATAACAAAGAGAGAGAACTAACACCCAAGAAAGGCAAGTGATGTAAGTGGAAACAGCTTACACCACCAAGAGGAAGATGCTCAGCCAGGCCCTGAGCAGCAGGGACTTCCCCCTGGTTTTGTTGCTGTGCATGAGGCCATATGGTGTGGAATATCCCTCTGGTCAACTGTCCTGGCTGAGTCCCTTCCCAGCTCCCTGTGCACCCCGAGTCTGCTCACTGGTGGGTGAAAAGCAGAGAGGTCTTGGCTCTGTGCAAGGGCTGCTCAGCAATCAGGAAAACATCCCTGAATTATCAACACTTGCAGCACAAACCCAAAACACAGCCACATACCAGCTACAGTGAAGAAAATTAATTTTACCCCAGTCAAAAGCATCACACTTGTAAAGGTAGATTTTTAAGCTTTACTGTAAATAACTTCATGTGTAAATTGGTTCTGTTACCATTGTTTTATGTGATTAGCCCCGTAGCCCCAGTAAACAGTTTCTTGGTTGTCTCCACTCTTCAGTATAAAAGTTATACTAAGCAGAGTTTAAACTTTTTGAAATCAATACTGCTACACCAAAAAGCAATGGCAGAGTCATATAAACTAGCATTTTATCTACCATATTCAAGTACACTATGTAAATATGGGGTAAGTCTAAAACATTTACATAAAGTAAAATGTTTTAACTTGCACAAGATTTTTCCTCAACATAAATCAGCTAGTACAACCACCAGAAATTTAATACATTAGAATATAAGTTCCCTGGAGTTTATCACTGGTTTTATATATCATTCTTATTCACAGACTAGAGAAATGCAGTCTTTAACAGTAATATTCTGCTTTTTGGTCCAAGTAGCCTCTAAAAGTTTTCACTACGAAGATGTGCTACTCTTTCTTGGGAATGCTGTCTCCCTTGATACAAATCCTATTGCAAATCTGCCTGGAGTAATTTGAAGCAATGCATTGTAATTCTTTTATGTTTTGCTCTAATCACAGACCCAAAAGTCAAGAGAATGGATTATAAACCTGTCAGAAAGGTAAAATTAAAAAAAAAAAAAATCACAGAAATGTCTGTTCCAAGGACAAGATACCAATTAAAAATATTTATGTTTGGTTTTTCTCTGTTTCTTTTTAAGTGAAAGCAGAACAAAGACTTATTCGCAGGAAAAGCAGAAAAGATCTGGCATGAGCTGTCTAGTTTTACTCCCAAACAGAGCAGTTGGAATTTTGCTATGCTGTAAACAGATCTATTTCCAGGTACTCAGCAGAGCAGAGATTTCATTGATCACTGCTGTCTTTACTAAGTACCCCTGAACCCCACCTGTGTCAGCCCAGTGGATTCTCATGGTTATCTCTGACTGACTTGCACACGTCCTCTCCACTATCACAGCCACAGTGCCTGGCCTAAAACAAGCTCCTCCTTCCTTGTTCAGACAGTATCCTACTGTCAAGAGCTTAGTTACTTAATTTTGCAAGTAAGAATGAAAAAAAACCCCAAACCAGAGTCAATTAGCATGCCACTGAATTTATAAAATGCCATTTTGTTAGGCCATGTTACAGAGCAGTTCCTGAGCACAAAGAATTACATAAGCACATGAGCCCCGAGTTTCATTTATCTTAATAAGAGCATTATCAGCTAAGCTCTCCTCAAGCCTAATTATGAGTAACTTCCCTCTAGCAGGAAAGCTTTTCTTGGTTACAAAATAAAAATGTCACCTGTGAAGATGAGTCTTCATGTTCACAACTGAGTATTATTATTTCTAATTTATTCAGAATTTCAATATTTCAAGAGTGAAGTGTTAAAGCCACATAAATGGATACTTCTCCTCTGCCAGACTTACAGTCACAGGTGGAGCATGTGTATATACAAGTATAAACATCAAATTTACATGTGTATGAGGTGCACAGATATCCACCTGCACACACATGTATGTAACATATATGTAACATACATATTTCCTTTTTTCCTCATGTATTTATAACTCTACTACTAGTGACTTTCCTCTACAAAAATGAACAAAAAAGTGCAACAAACCATAGCAGCACACTAGACTCTTTGAAGTCCAAGATGGGTTTTGGAAGCCCATTCCCGTTGGAAACATCAAAAGTAACTCACCCCATGTTCCTCTGGAACCATATCCTCCCCTTTCACAGATAAGAAAGGAAGTACCCATTGCACATGCATCCATTTAGGCATTTCTAGGATGGACTTGACTGTGACAATGAAACCCCAGAACAAGCACAAATAGTTCTCCAAATGGAGAGGGATAAGCATGACCTCAGGTCATGGTGACACTCCATTACCATTAAGTTTTATCATGTTGTGATTTTTAAGAGTTTCAAATCTTGAACAAAAAGTCTTCTTCCAAGTTCAGATGACAGTCACCAAGTCACTGGTAACTACTATTTACGGCAATACTCCCATAAGCCTTTCCTCTTCTAATCTAATGTGCAAAATTCAGTCCAGCTTTAAAGTTCTTATAAGTCAAAGAAAACAGGTTATGTGCAAGAGAAAGACACTTTCAAATTAACTATCTATTTTTTACAGTACAAGTTTTATAGTAAGAAAGAACAGAGAACTAGATATATGAAAAACGAAGCATGTTAAGAAAACATGTTTTCAGGTAAGAAAGAATCCAAACAGGAAGCAGAAGCACTGCCAAAAACTAGAGCCCTTTCAAGCTTTTATTGGGAATCCCTCATCAAGTATCCAAGACTCTTATGTCCATGTGACATTGCAGACTGAAACAGCCAGAATGGAAAATGTGAGGGCTGAATCATACTTTGTGCAAATGATGGTCATTCCCAGGAGCCAAACCTCAAAAAAACCAAAAAAACCCAACCCCAACCAACCAAAACCAAAACAAATAAACTACCCAAAAATCCCCCACAAAAATACACAAAGGAAAAAAAACAACAACCAAAATTTAAAAAAAGTTTACTCAACTTTAAATTGGGATTTTGGGGTTATTTAAGCTTCTACAGGCTCTACAGTGTTTTGCTTGTTATAGCCTCTTTACAGAAAGATATCAAATAGGGAATTAAGCAATAGTACAGCCTAGACCAGAATCAGCCTTGGCAAATGGAAAGAAACTTCCCAACCTGTCCCATTCCATGGAGATACAGCCAATCAACAAATCCCTACAGGGAAATCAGAGGAAATGGGCAAGGAAGATGAGCTCAGGGAAGAACATAAGGAAATACTGGTAATTATAATAAAGAAAGCTGATCTTAACACAAATTGGGCTTCAGGGTGACCTTTGTTTCAGACCTACAGCTGCAGCAGTGGGTTGGGCAAAGAGCCTTTCCTGATAACATGGGTGTTCTGCTGAGCTAGCCAGGCCATGTAGAAGGCAGGGGCAGGAAAGAGCTGTGTATGTACCTCAAACAAATAGAAGCATAAAAAACAAATAACCAGCACAAAGAACTTTGAAAAAAGCAATAGGCTTGAGCTGGCTCTAATGGGCATATTCCTTCCTGGCAAGCAGGGACATGCAGTGCCATACTGGTGAGAATACAGAGAACAGTAATGGAATCACATTTCTACTGTGACCCAACTATGTATTACGATTGATATATTGTGCTTGTCTTGAGATTTCAGTATGCTGATGTGCCACTCTGCTAGATCAAAATCCTGTGTCTAGATAAATTTGGTAAATTTGGTATTAACACCTCCCAAATGGCAAATCTGTAAGAACACAGTCAGAGCAGCACATTCTGCCAGACAGGAGTAACAGCCCTTTCAAACAACATTTTCACATCCACCAAATCCATATTCTTCAACTGTGTTGCTGGCTATTTTTTTCTAAAAACAAGAGGAAGAATATTACCATTTTGAATATATTTGTACTCTTCTACTTTTTCTAAATATCTGCACTCTTCTGCTTTTAAATAGCCAAAAATACTCATCAAGAGTGGGAAAAAAGGTAATGGGATGCACTTGTGAATACTGTATCATTTCTTGCCATCTGGATTGTCTTAATAAACTAGGAAACTTAAACTTTGGATACAAATTAGGAAATCTTTCCTCACCAAGAGCTTTTAGCTGCTAGGTGTCATCTGAACACATCGTCATGTAGACACAGCCAAAGTTATTAGCTGTGTTCTGAAGACCAACCCATGTAATTCAATTTAGAAAAAAGAAGGGACTTTAGTAATGCCTTGAAGTACCTCACCTTTGAATCATATGCTGATTGCTTTATTACTTCAGGTGCCATCCAAAATGGTGTTCCCACAAAGGTATTCCTCTTTATTTGTGTATCTGTTAGCTGCCCAGCTACTCCAAAATCTGCCAGTTTTACTTCCCCTTGTTCAGACAGCAATACATTAGCAGCTGGAATAAAGAATAAGAAACACCAGAAATGAAGATATTTTATACCATTTGACAATGTAAGGGAGCTCATACAGGTTTGCATGAGTTCTTCTGATATTCTTTCATCACAAATAATAAAACAATTTACCTTTAATATCTCTGTGGATTTTCTTTTCCGAATGCAAGTAATCAAGTCCTTTGAGTATCTCCCTCAATATTGTAGCAATTTGAGTTTCATCAAGTGAGCCAGGCTCTAACTAGGAGATGCAAGAAATGTTTAAATATGTATTACAACAGGACAGAACAACAGAAATAACACTGTGACTATAAAAAGAAATTACTCCTTTTGTCAGCCCTCAAAACTTCCAATTTTCTGACTTCATAAACTGTGAGACAAAACAAAATATTATTTTTAAAGACACATAGTTCTAAACTAAGTGGCTTAATGAACAACAGACAAAGAAATAATTTATCTAAAATATTATGTAAAATTTGTTAAAGGTGCCATAAAGGCAGAGCCTCGAGTTATTGCTTTGTGGTCAGGTCCTAGATATACTATGCCTTTAAAAAGCATCTGATTGTTAACTCTACACTGAACTTACATGTGCAACTCTACAGACCCTATGTGGACTCAAATCTCAAAGCCTGAGCAAGAAGCTAAGGCATTCAATGTACTACATCCATCAGTCTATGACTACATACTGCACTGGATTTTGAGAAACTCTCTAAAACTCAAAGTGATAGGCTGAGAGAACATTACGTATTACATATTTTAAAATGTTAAGTTTTTTCAAGTAATACTGGAAATATAAATCTGCTAATAGTTAAAAAAATTCCAAGTAATTATTCTTATGAGAAGAATCAGTAACGTTATATGATCCCAAAGTTCTTTACATGTGACATGAATTCTAAAAGTTAGAATACCGAGGAAAGGTCACTACCCAGAGAGACAATAAGGGCATCTTAAACCCTGTCCTTAAACAATAAGGGCATCTCCAGAGACACTGAAACTTTGTGCCCAACAGTTAATATTGGAAATATTCCACTATTCTAGTTTACTCCACAATAGCACTCACTGAATCACAATCAAAAAGTTGTACCTCTAAAGCTTCATTCTGTGAAAAGGAAAGCATTTCAGATAAGGATTTTCAGATAAATATGACAAATAGTACATCCCTAAGAAATCCTCATGCTCAGCAACAGAGGTAATATTTCATGTAACAATGCATTGGCTTTATCTTTGCAGCTTTAGTTATCATCTTATTTGCTTTTCCTTAGCTCTGATAATACACAAAATACTACCACTACGTGAAACCCACTAAGACACTCTCAAAGCTTTGCTGCAGCCAGGCTGCAAGCACCAGTTTGAGACTTGGTAACATGACACAGCACATCTAATGGGGGAAAACCTCTTATGTCAGATTCAGCTCACCTTAGTGAGGAGGAATTACTGAAAACAGAGTAAATCTGAGAAGACTGGCACTTGTACCTCAGTCACAAACTTGAACTATACTCAAAATTTGACCAAAAATGTACTTGCAGTTGCATTATATATACTTTTTCTTGTGAAGCAGGATTTTGAAATCATGCAGTGCATATTCAAGTACGAAAACACCAAGCTAGAATGACACGTCTGCACTCTGAACATGGAATTCAAGGTTCTCAGTAATCCTTGCCTCGAGTATGAAAATGTGACAAAACATGCCAGGTTCTAGTTGAGAACCATAATGTGCATGTTAGAACTAGGAGAACATGCACCAGAACATAAATTGAAAATTAATGAAGCACACAAAAGGTGCTTAATAGACACTTACAGGATGATTTCAGTTCTAGGGTGAAATTTCTTCAATAACATTTTAAGATGTGAACAAGTACTTTCTACTATTTCTAGGCAACAAACTTAGAGACTAAACATATAGTCATCACACAAGTGAAATTTGTGAAATTTAAAAAAAAGAAGAAAATATGGTAACGCGTTTTCACTCTGCTCTTTTATACCTATACAAAGAAAGTAATAGCTAATTTATAAAAGCAAACCCAATTTCTAATTGCTCTTCTGTCTGGAAGAAAAAAGTGATCACAACAAGAAATACACATTTTTTATCATATCTTTATGGAGAACATCATGAATTTTTACACAACCACAGAACTCCTAACAAATGTAGAAGCTAAAGGTATAAATGGGTTCAAAAATACACAACTGCAGGAAGCCCATATTTAATACCCACCCCCGTGTTCTGGATGTCACGAGCAGAATCCCTTCACAGTGACCTTGTTCCTTTTGCTCTTTCGTCAAGCCTTTATCAGTTATCCTATTTGACAACTGCAAACTCTGCTACCAAGATGTTTTAAGTATCTGCCATTTGGATAACAATTTTCACATACTTAAAACATGCATTATTATTTTTATAATGGTGTTTTTTAAATCCACAGTGAACATAAGAAGGTGGGAGCTTGGGTGCTTTTTAATAGCTGAAGTGAATGTCAGCATCCAGTTACAGAAAACATGATCTGCACTGACCCCTTCGAATTCCAATTCAAACCTGGGTACTCCATCCCAGGTGCAGAATGAGGCCCTTGCTCCTCCTAAATTTCATACCCTTGATGATTGCACAGCCCTTTCGTCTATCCAGGGCTCCCTGCAAGGCCTCTCTATCCTCCATGGAGCCCAAAGCTTCTTCTATTTCTTTGAAATACTATTTTTAATAACAGCCTAAATTGTATTTGTCTGTTTAGACTTCATGAAGACTTCAAACAGGGAACCTTTCATTTGTTTGTTTGCGGGAGGGGGTGGTGAGGAAGATACATTAAAATGTATAAACTTGTATAAGTGTTGTGGTGGCAGAATTAAGAGATACAAAAAACTATTTTCAGGCACTAGTGCTCTCTGGCTGACTGAAGATTAGCATTCTAAGATGTTTATATCCTGCTTCCAATATTATGTTGCTTAGTTCCCTTCTATTTACACAAATAATCAGTCATGCCTCATGGAAAATAACATTTTTCTGGCATTCACAAATACTTTTATCCTTTCCTGAAAGTGAACATTGCCACAGCCAAGTGATCTATTATAGTTTCCAGAAATATAAGATAGGAATATAATATGTGAAGTAAAGTAACAAAAAACATGCATCATTTACTTACTAGATCAAGGGCAGAACCTCCACCCAGATATTCCATTATTATCCACAATTTTGTATCCTGCAACACAAAAAAAAAAACCAAAAAAAAAGGTTAAAAAAAAAAAAAAAGAAAAAGGTAGTAACTTGAGTTAATGCGACTTGTCCCCTTCTTCTTGATGAAGAAATTATCTGTAGTTTTGAAACACCACAAACATTTAGCTGTTCCTCAAAAATATCTCTGGATTATTAACTCAAGAGTGTGTGCATGGAGGAGAATGAATATTAATTTTAAAATTCCAGTTATGGACATTCCAAATATCAAACAGTGTTACATATAACATATTTCCTTTCCTTAGAAAATATTATCTCAGTTTTGTTGATCATCTTGATTTGTACAGATACCTAAAAATATTTTCTTTAGTAAGCTTGACTCCTGTCTAGTTTAAATTGAAATAGAATTATTCATTTTTCTGCATTGTTTCATTTTATGGAACAGTTAAGTAGGTTTTCTCCACTAATGCTTATGCATCTGATATATGGTGTAGAATTTTTGCACAGTTTCATTCAAAAAAGAAGCAGCAAAGTAGTAATGAAGATTGCTTAAGATGACTATAACAACTTATTAGCTTCAGCTAGTAAAAGAAAAGCTAACAACATCAAGCTACTATATTCCTAAAGAAAACCTCGGTACATATTACAGGACTGTTTAACACAAGATAGACAATACAGTATGCTAAGAAAGAGACTGGACCAAATAATTTCTTTCCACTGTTTGCAGCATCTTTTTCCCAAATACACTAAGAGAAGCAGTTAGCCCAGCTTTTCCTTGCAGTGCCAGCCTTAAAACACACAACAAAGCAAAGCCACAAATCTACTATGTAGGTATTCAAATGAAATTGCTGCACAAAACACACTGGTGGTTTAGTTTTTTATGATTATTAAGTTATTTTACACTTTGTTAATTTCACCTCTATGGTATGTACCAAACTTTCACAAGACCTCTAGCATAATAATATAAATATCTCTCAGAGCAAGGAGCACATAAATAGCAACAATATTCATTTACTTTATCCAGCAGAATAAAACTTCATCTAAAACTAATGGCTCACAGCCAGGACATCTGATGCTGAATTCTCTTCTGTAAGGATGGATTCAAATTTTTAGAGAAGTGGTAAATGTATTGCAGGACACAACTTCATCTAAATCCTCTGAGGGATTAAAATTTTAGCCCTTAGGATTCACTTAAGTATTTTAGTCATTATTATATTTATACTCCACTGCATCCACCCCCTCTCTGGACTCCTGCTGTAGGTAAATGTGCATTTTTCCCACCTCCAGTTACACATACCATACTATTTTTAGATAAGACCCTGGATTAGGGCTCCTTCTTCATCCACTATTTTTAACACAGAGATTCAGCTAAATTTAGATACCGTTCTTCAGGAATTAACTCATGCTATTTGACAAATACAGTCTTGTTAAAAATATTTTAAGAGAGCCAGAACACGGATTTTAGGAAGAAAGAATAATTAAACAATATAATCTAGCTCAGTACTGAGAGACAACATTCTCATAGTGCCTACTTTCTTGCAGACACCACAAATATTCCAAGTCTGTTACAGTACTGAAATACTTGCTTTTCTGCTAAAACTTTTATGTGTTTTTCCTGTCCCTTCAAGGCTCCAGCTCCTAGCAGTTCCTGAACAAGAACATTACTGAGAGGTGTCTTATAGTGAGTCATCATAAACTTGATCAAAATTTTATCTTTATATTTTGCTGATAAAATGTGTTTTAAAGCTACATTAGATTTCCTCAATATTCAAAACTCACACTTCATTTTAATAGTAACTTAAACACAAACATGTCAACTACATCACTACTTCCCAGTTCACTGGAAATGCCTGGTTGGGAAAGAACACGGTAAATGAAGCAAACAAACCCCCTGACCCTTTTCAAGAACAGTGAAGAAAAGAAAGGGGAAAAAAAATGGGAAAAACCCCCAAACATTCACAACACCTCACACAGATATCAACATGAGATGTGTCTTCCCTTTTCTATTATCTCAAGGATTCAAAGACTTAACAGCTTGAAATAAGATAGTTTCTCTTTTGGGAAATTATTTCTAGAACACTAGGTTCCAAATTCTCCAGCTGAAAACTAGAAATTATAAGTAGAAAATAACTAACATAAATATTTAAGAATATAATTTTAATTACATAGTTGCAGAACTATGTAACACAATTAGACTACCACATGTTATATTACTCATAGTATTTTAAAATCATCATTTATAATTTTAATTGTTTTTCTAGTTCAAGTAGTCTTTGCTCCTGAAACTTTCATCATCAGCTGCCTGAGGCCACATGTCTGAATTTACAATAAAAAAGCCATTAATCCACTAAACTCAGTAATTCTGTATTTTAAAACAAATACAGAAAAGTATGAAAAAGTATGAAATACTGTTAAGAAACACACACACTACTGTATCTGTATCCTAGTGTAAAGCTAAGAAATAGTAATCTATTACAAATATGGCATCTTTTTATCTGGATCCCTATATTCAAAATTATTTTTAATTCTCTGTGGTTTCCCCTTGCCTCAGAAATATTACTCAACTTCATCAATGGTTTTGGGTTTTTATTTTTAAAGTTTCCATCATTCATATGAAGTATCTGAACACATTGCTATTTTGTACTCAAATAAATTTAATTACCATGGTAGAAAATCTTACTACCACCTATCCCTAATTCTTTTTAGAATTTTTTAAGCTTTCTTATATAAAATCTGCATATATTGCTTGATAGGAAGATGCAAATAAATCCTTTTGGTGAGACAGCTGTAATGAATTTCTCAATATGTATTTCATCTTAGAGCCAACAACTATATATACAGACTTTATGTCTGTGGTGGCTTGGATGCCAGCTATCCCCCCAAAGCACTCTGTCAATCCCTTTCTCACCTGGTTATGGGACAGAGAATATAGCAAAAGGCTCATGGGCTGAGGTAAGGACAGGGAGAGAACAATCTCCAGTTGCCCTCATGGGCAAAGCAGACTAAAACTGGGGACATCAATTTAATTTATTACTAGTCAAATCAGAGTCATATAATGAAAAATAATGCCAAATCTTAAAACCCATTTCCCCTGGCCCCTTCTCCATGCGCTTGAATTTCACCTCCAAATTTCTCCATCTCCTCCCCCCAGTGGAACTAGGGGATGGGGAAAGGGGATCGTGGTCAGTTCATCACATATCTCTGCCACTTCTTCCTCTTCAGAGGGAGGGCTCCTCACATTCCTGCCCTGTTCCCACAGGAGACAGTCCTCCATGGACTTCTCCCATGTGAGTCCTTCTCACGGGCTGCACTACTTCATGAACTGCTCTTGTGTGGGTCCTTTCCATGGGGTGCAGTCCTTAGGGAACAGCCTGTGGGTGTCCCACAGTGTCGTAAGTCCTGTCAAACCTGCTCCAGAGTGGGTTCATCCCTCCATAAAGCCAGAGGTCCTGCCAGGAGCCTGCGCCAGTGTGAGCTTTCCACAGGGTCCCAGTCTCATTCAGGCACATTCACCCATCTGGGTGGTGTGGGTGTCCTCCATGGGCTGCAGGTGCATCTCTGTGGTCTCACTGAACCTCCACGGGCTGCAGGGGCACAGCTGCCTCACCATGGTCTACACCAGGGGCTCCAGGGGAACCTCAGCTCCAGCATTTGGAGCACCTCCTCCCCCACCCCTTCTCCACCGACCTTGGTGTTTCCTGTTTCTCTCACTTACTCTCTTTGAGAGCTGTACCTCTCACTTATTCTCACTGCTCTCTCCAGCTGCAACTGTGCAGGTTTTTTCCTCCCTTCTTAAATCTGTTGTCCCAAAGGCACTGCCACAGTCACTTACGGGCTCAGCCTGGGCCAGCAGCACATCCACTCTGGAGCCAGCTGGCACTGGTTCGACGGGACTTGGGGAAAGCTTCCAGCAGCGTCCCACAGAAGCTGCCCCTGTAGCCTCCCACTACCAAAACCTGGCCATGCAAACCAGAGATAATGCCTTGTAACAACAGCACAAGGCCAGCACTGAGCTACTATTAATTGACTTTGGCATCACCATAGCAACGGGCCTCCTTCTTTCCTTCTTTTCTGAGTATCTCTGGCATGCTTCACATTCCCTACCACCTACTGTCACTTTCCTTTTTAAAGCTGCCCAAATTCTTTTTTTACTTGAACTTCTCACCCTCTTAAGTATATATTCCCCTTTTGCTCTCAAACAGAACTCCGAAGGCACTACATTTTCTTCCGTAGACTAGATTAGTAATTATATATTACACATAATCATTTATACTTTCAAGAAGATAGTACATTTGTATACTGACACTAGCAACATTCAGTGCTCCTCTTTGAGATCTGAAACAAGAACAGTTTTCTTCTTCTAAGCATCAGCCACAACACAGCATTGAATTTCCTTCAAAATACAGTGAAGCCATGGTGAGTCATCCATCCAAATTTGGGATTATTTCTTTATAAACTTAGATGAGCAGATTAATGAGGGCACATGGAATATTTCCTTTTTCACAGCAAGAACAAGGAATTTTCCTCTGATGTTATGAAACTGAAGAAAGGAACAGCTTTGGAACCTAGAAGAAACTCTGTTAGAGTTTCTGTGGATCCTTTCCAAACTACGGTTGCTCTTTTTGAGGTCTGACTTCTGATTTTAACACTGGAACCACAGAAAACCTTACAAGAGCAATTTTACCTCTGATGAAGTTTCCTTCATCAAGTTACTTCTATACCATGAAAGTACGTGCAAAATAAGTGCAGATACAGTAGGTAAAGAATTTTTAGTATGTAAAAATTGAAGACTGTACACTGGAGAAAAAAGAAGGCCATCCACCAAAAAACTTGTATACAATCTCAAAGGTACATTTTAACTGAAATCTGAAGAAGACAGAAGTCTTACAGAAACAAGTAATCAAGATTAACATGTTTGTTTGTAAGTCCTTACAAAGTTAAAAAAAAATCTAAATAAAAATGGAAGAGGTCTACCTTCAGAGATGCTTTATATTTCTTGTATGTGAAGAACATACATATTTCTTAAAC